GTCATTCACTCGTGATAGGACGTTTCTCACGATGAAATTCGTCGAATGTTCAGTAAGGGGCTTTCTCGGCTTTTCGTTTCGAGGTAAATTTGAGAAATTTTTTTTGGTCACTCTATATAACCTGATATATATATATATATATATATATATATATATATATATATACATTTGTATTACCTGATTTACTTGCTCGAGTTGACGCATGTTCGAGTCACATGGTTCATTGTCGGGTTATCAAGCGTACTTCTTTTTCTTTTCTATTTTACGATATAAAGTGATTTTTGTAATCAGGCGTAAAATTTGTATACAGAGTTATTTAATATTGCACTAAATTAAGTTCGCCAGTGCATTTGATTTCTATGGTAGAATCATCCGCAGGTGGTGAAATACTCCTGAATAGCCCTGTATAGGGTGATTATTGAACGATGCTGATAATTGAACATACCGCAAGATTGATGATTAACATGCTGGAGGCAGTTCTGGACTGGTTCCTTTTTTACGAAAAGCTGTGCATATGTTGCTTATCGGTAAACAAACGAAGTCATAATCCTCGGAAATCCATAAAGTATGCTTGAGTGATTAATTTTGTGATAAAAATTAATTACTGACTGGTATTACGTTTTTTCTCATCAGTCAGGAATTAACGCTAACGTGTCTACAAGTTGTATGATTAGACGAATGTATTGCTAAGTGTATTTTTAGACTTGTTATTGAATATGAACAGTTGAAACAATTAATGTCTTCGCTCGATCGAATTTGAACTTACGACAATGCGGAATTCACAATGGCGTCGCTTCACCCGAGATTTCTGTTGACGCGGGAGCCGAGCTAACTCGAACATAGTCGAGTATAGACGAACGAGATTGAGAACTACATATGGCTGCTCTCTTGTAAAATTGTTTCAAGGAGTTGTCTGGACAACACCTTAGCGGTTATCTGCGATATAGTTCGGAATTATCCGACCTTTTCGCACGGTGAGTTAGCTTTTGTTATGACTGACGGCTAGGTGATTATCGAATTTAGTGTTTATCTTAGGTTTTTGCCGTAACCTTACTTCACGTTTGATAGCTTGCGCGACAGCAATCTTGAGAATGTAGAAATGATTTGGTATTACGGAATATTTCTTTTGGAATTTAATTCATCTGCACTCGCTAATATTTTTCTTTCGCGTTATAGCTAGTAGTTAATATTTCATTCTTGGTTTTAGCCATTTTTTCACTCTGCCTTAAATTTATAGGTTATGCTTGTAATGCTTGTTTTAATTTTAGTTGTTACAATGCGTTTCACTTGCTTTACAGATGCCTAGTGTTAAAGACGAGTCTGAAGGAGAAGCGGAAGAGATGTCGCATGATAGCAATGATAGTAATCAAAGTTCAGCATCCTGCGACAGCAGTGCTGAACATAGTGATAGCGATGATTCTTCGGAGATGGATGAAGACGAATGCGAACGACGTCGGACCGAATGTATGGAAAATTTGGTCGATCTTGAAAGACAGTTTACTCTACTGAAGGAGCAGTAAGTATTATCTTTTTAGTGGAAATAGAAACCTTAACAGTGGAGGCATCGATGAGTTGATTTTCTTATAGATTATACCGAGAGAGAATAACCCAAGTGGACACAAAGTTGGGTGAAGTTCGTGTTGGGAAATCAGAAGAATACTTAATACCATTAGAGCGCCTTAAAGAAAATATGAAGACGAAGATGGAGGTAGCTGGAGTATTAAAAAAGCTTAGAATACAAAATATACAGAACAAGTTCTTAGCTGAGGAACAGGCAGCTTTACAAAATTTTCAAAGTGAGAAAGAACTCGTATGGGACTATATTCATAGTGACTTACAAGAAAAAATACGAAGACTCGAAGAGGATCGAAACAATGTTGACATTCATGCTGATTTATGGCTTAATTCTAGTGGACGTAGACGTAGAAATCTTACAGAGAGGCGTCGGGCTGTTTCCGTAGCCGGCCCATACATAGTTTACATGTTGAATGACGCAGAGATCCTGGAAGATTGGGCTGTTATAAAGAAAAGTCTAACTAGTCGAAAAACAGAAATTTTATAATCTCAACTTTCATTGATACTGAGCTGATATGCATGTTCACGCGAAAACTCCTACATTATACGTTAAAACCTTGGTCGAAAGCAGCGTCATTTATCATTAAAAGTGATTACGTATGTTTTTGGCTTTAATAACAACCGTTGTAGAGTCAAGTTTCGCACTCTGTGCCTTCGTTTCCGACGAAATTTCATGTGTACGAGAATAAAAAATGCTCATATGGTTAGAATGTATGCAAAGGATGTAAAATAATTAGTAAGTAAGGATGTTTCATATTAAAAAAAAACTATTCTAATCATGGAATTTATTATTATACAAATTGTAGCACTGTACGTGTTGATCGTTAAGTACTTGCTGCTACAATTTCGCGTAATTGGATATGACAGTATCGGGACCATAAACACCATCCAATTTCAGTCGCTTGGATTGCATTTTCGCCTTTATCAAAGCATAATTGTAGAATATACCGAATGTTCTCATTGTTAACTTCCATCTTTTATACCCTGTAACTCACAACTGAATTTGATCGGGACGGAATTTGATCAATACTTTACGAGATATATATCACTACAGCCATCTAGCGAAAAAATAATGGATTTCTTTTTCCCCGATCTAATATAATCTTGTAAACTTATTCTTTCCGACAGTTGATGACTTTAGTCTAATATAGCAACGACTGAGCGCAGTTTATCGGCTTTCATGATGAGTAATATCTGCTTCAGCTAACAGATGGCAGCACATTCAACGATTGCATGTATACCTGACTTGCGCAACATCAAATGCACAAGTTCACTTAATATTGTCACCTGAATTTAATTAAACAAGTTATGCTCGTGTATTCTGTGCCGCGAAATATATACATATATCTATGCATAGCATTTCAATTGGTAAAGTCAAACCGAAGCTGTTTGTGACACCCAGACTCGCGTGACAACATACCCCAAAAGATAGCCAGCGATATTCAGGCAAATAGCCTCTTCAGTCAACGTTAGTACAGTATTTAAAGATGAGCCAATAAACGCAATCTAGTGGTATCTTTGTAAAGAGCACCATTCAAAATCAATTGCAATTCTCATTAAACGCTGCTCGAACATACTTTAAAAATTGAAATTGCGTTTAATCTTAAAAATGTCAAGTACCATTATCTCTATCACCGTTACGGACTCGATCCTACGATATGATGATAAAAAAATTCCATCCATTACCGTAATAGCAAAGACAGGAAACATAATCAATTGAAAATAAGAAAGGATCGATATACGGTACTTTTAAATGTCATTTTTATTTAGGCTATGTACAACACATACGTACAATACGTGACCCTTGCTTAAAACTATATTACGCTCGTCCGGAATGCATTTCCATTGGAATTTAATTTTCTCTCTTTCATTAGTTTTCTCTTGAATTTCTCATAGTGATACTTTTGTCTTTTTTTGTTTGTGTTCATGTGGCGTTTCTGTGTCTCTTAAATATAGGGGTTGTGTGCGTGGGTGTACGAACGTGTGCATGTCCCCATTGTGAAGGTGTACACACGAGTGTGTGATATGTTACAAACTTTTATAGGAACATTTCGCGTGGGATCCCGCGAGCGATAATTCATTCTCATTCTCATTCCTCACTTTATTCAATTCCCGTTCTTCTTCGCCCCAGAGTAATCGGGGTGAATCTACATAAAATAATGCAGCCCCCTCGCGCAGCTTCCCCGCCCCACGAGTTGATATATTGATTAGACAGTTATCGAAAAATGACACCAATATAGACAATTGCTGACTGGACAGACTTGAAGGATCAAGGAATGAATTTGCGTCAGGTTTTTGCGATTCGCTGAAAACAATTCAGCACTGAGAAAATACCTGGCGCCATTCAAATTTTTTGAACGCAAGACACCCACCAGATGTCCCGTAGTCATTGTAAATTCTTAAATAACAACAGAAGCACAAAAATCAATGCCTAATATTTAATTGGGTAATTGGCTTACACGTTAAAAGGACATTGAAAAATCGCGTTACGCTAGAATATTTCTTGCCGATTACACTTACGGCCCCGCTTATCCCTGTCGTTTTATTTACAGATTTTAACAAAAGTGCCTTCGAGAATCGTTGTTAAGAAACTAACGAAAATCCGCGCGTGTACGTTTCTGTGTGAAATTTCGAGTATGACTTATTTTTTGCAATCCCATTACGGGATTTACGTATTCTATATTATAATCCTCGGCACGTGTCTTTATTTTAACACAGGACGTTCCAAGAGATACCTCATCTACATGCTCAAGGATAAAATTTTGCTACAGACTGTATACTTGTTTGTGCTTTAATTTGTGAAAATTTAAATCCCACCAATTGGAACGTTCCGTTGTAATGAATTAATGTGTCAATGTAGTTCTGTGTATCTTTCATCATATATATTATGTATACTTTCTTGGACATGTAGACGCATCTACGTAATTATTTTCTTATCCGAGATAATAAATCATACTGTAACCATTATAATAAAAATATCAAATTTCAATGAATTCCCGATAAATACAAAATAAACTAATTGCGACTAGATTTCGACTAGCAACACAACGCGATAAGTCCGTTCAAGACCAGCTCTCCTTAATCTTAGCTCCCACTGGTGTCCTCTGCTCACATGATTATCCCCCGACAACGGGGAATCCCCGTAACATCTTTACGGGGAATACCCCACGATTACAGTCGAGGATCGAACGTGGGACAAAGTTCGATGGTTTTGAACGGTCGAAACGTAAGAGTCCCAATCATTCCCGTGACCTCTCGAATAATAGTCTTGAATTCCGCGGGTGGTCCTCTAAAATTATGTTTGATACTGGAGCATCGGTGCCGCAAGATTAGGATGGTGGGCCGTATTCATTCTGAGGGCCGAGATGCTCTTGTTGTACCATTCGTCCTCGGCTGTCATTCCTGTACAGATAAAAGAAAAAAAAAGTTAAAAAAGAAAATTCAACAATCTCAAAATTCTCATAAAGTCGGCAGTCCTATTGTAATTGAATTTGAATTTGTATCTAACGAGAAACAAATAATTCCTGTCTCCGAATCTAATTGTATATTATCAAGAAATTAATAGCTCTTTACACTTTGCCAATCTAATAACGATTCGACTCGACGCTCTCAGCCGGTGTAACCAGAGTTAATTGAACAATCGGCTATCGCATTAAAACTGCCAAGTCTTCCTAAGAAGCGGTTAGGCACCAATACCGTTAGGTAGAGAAATCCAGTCGACGAAGAAGCCGATAGGCAATTCGCGAATAGTCTTGATTCGATTTAAAAGCGATATTCCATCTCGGGACGGAAATGATGTAAGACGGTGCTGGGCCGGAAATAGAGCGTCTTCGAGCGAGCGTCTCGACGACGCTCGCGGACCCCCGCGTCATTTCCGGCGTTTTCTCAACTCCCTTCTTTTTTCTCTATTTTTTCATCCCCCCTCTCGCGCCCCTCTCTCATTCATCCATTTTCCTTCACCTTATTTCTATCTGACCCTTGCGCGGTGTCATTCAATAACAGTAGGTCAGCGCAAGACCGGAAGAACGATTCGGACCGGATGTAGCATCGGAGTGAACAACTTACTAGCTAGAATTTTTATCAACAACACGATTCTATTCTGCATCTGTAATGATAAGAATTATATATATATATATATATATATATACAATTACCCATTGCATCTTGTCGCATGCCAGTCACGGCAGACATATTCGACGCGGAATGTGACATGGAGAATGGTTGGGTCATACTAGGATATGACGTCGTTCCCATCTGAAAGAAATTTTGAAAAAAAAAAGTAATAATGACGTAATCGAAAAATATTTTTAGTTTAGATACATGGATATAGTATGTTTCTGATTGTATTTTATATTTCTGACAAGCTATCACGACGCAGTGCGTAAATTTGGATTTTTCACGGATGGACTCGGTACGCTTCAAAATTATCGGGCCAATTAAAGCTGGTAGGCATTCGGTAATCCGTCCGACCCAACTAATCAGTCGAAATGCAATTTAGCTACATCGAGCGGCCGCCGTGTGCGGCAAACCCACGCTCAGGTGCACTCCAATTTAATACCTCGGTTAAAATCATTAATGAGAAACGCATCGAATTCATTTATCCCTCTTGGAGTCGCGACTTCGTTCAGGATGTGGGCCCTTTTGAATAATCAAAACATAGATGGTGTATCGTTATAAGAATTTTGGAGTGGTTCGGAGTACGGAGGATCGAAGGAATAAAATTTTTCGTGACACGCGTCGCTCACCTGGGGATAACGATTTATTCCATTTATGCTGTTGTGGGGGTGTGGATAGGGTTGGTAACCTCTTCCGGCACCAGGGTAAATGTTTCTCATCATGGCGCCCTGACAGGCTGGAATTGGCGCCAGTGCTTTCTGCAATTGCTTCTCCTGCTTTCGGTACTTTGCTCTTCTGTTTTGGAACCAGACCTGGGGGAAATGAAATTTTGAAAAAATTATTTTGAGTGGTGGTGCCGCTTTATAAATAATTTTTTTTGTTTTTTTTTTTTGGATTTATATACCGTATCTTTTTTAGGGTATTGATATCTGCATGGGTTAAGGGTAATTTTGCGTGGTGGAGCGACGAGCGATTTTAACGACGCAGGGTTGTTTTTGTTCTTGGCTAAGTTATTTTTTTTTGTTTAGTCTCGGAATAAGGGTGTACGTCTATCGCCATTTTGTATCGGGCAATTTCCATTGTTTCGCGGGATTAGTAAACCCATATTGGGGTTGCCTCAGCCACCACCACTGGCAACAGCACTGCCAGCCCCTGACAGGATGAAAAGCCTGCGGCTTCGCGCCAGTGTCGGATGGGGATGGTTTTCCACCCTCCTCGCGACGTTACTGGTGCCTTGTGATTGGCCGGTTTTGCGGGTGTGACGTCACTCCGGGCTCCCTCATTGGCTGACACGTTTTATCGACATTTTCACCCTCCGCGAGTTGGAAGCGCGAGGGTGCCGAAGAAACATGGCGCGTCCCTCCTGGAGGGACTCGCCAAATACCCGCAGCAATGTTTTTTTTTTGAGAATTCCAAAAAAAAAATAATGAACACTTTTTTTAGACTGTCTCATCTATATCAACCCCACGTAAAACAGAGTTTAAGTTGAGCCTTTAAATAGAAAAATTACCCCCTAACTCCAAAAAAAAAAACAGCAACAAAAAAATCCCTAGCAGAAAATCTCAATTTTTTATTCACCAATTTTTTTTCAAAAGTCAATGAAAAAAAATCTCAACCAATTTCTAAATAATTTACGCAGGAGATACCCATGAACAAAAAATAACTCATCCCCCCTCTTCTCTAAGGATTTTCAAAATATGAAAATCAGAATCGAGAAGTGAATATATTGTTTTTCAAAATTACCAAGCATAAGAAGGCTTTACGAAGTTTCTACTGAGAATTTAAAAATCTATCAATACCTTCGCACAGGCTCGCATCTACGGTCGTACGTAGTGAAGTTGGTTAAAGCCCTAAGGAAAGTAAAGACCAGTACCCTGAATATGTGACTATACGCCAGCGGGTATGTGGACGTAGCAGAGAAGTCTCGAAGAAACCCGGTAAAAGGGTGACTCTTTTTATTTCTACTTCTCCGTGGGAGCTTTTTGAGAACATGCTCGCGCGTCCCTTAAGGCGCGTACCCTGCAAGAACTGGAAAGCTAAGAGTTCGTAATTCAATAAGCGTGCTCTCCTGTCCTCCCTTTGCTCTCAGTCCTCCCACGCTTTTCCATGGAAGAGAAAAAGCGAAGGAGAGAGCGAACGAACGTAGGTACATCAGTCGCTTGCTTCTACCTCCCGAGGGGAGTCGTTCTTGTCGCAAAATTTCTGTTACTTTGATGACGTCAAGTAAGAGAGGCGACGGCACCGTTCATTGTCTCAGTAAAGGAAGATAGGACCCAACCTAACCTCACAAGGAGTATGTAAACAGAAATAGAAATTAGGAAGAAGATAAGAAAAATAAAAAAACCATTTCTTGGAAAAAGAAAAAGAAACAAAGAATTTTTCCGATCACACAAAGTCATCTTCGACGTCTACGATCTCGGAATGGTGGTACAGAGAGAAAAAGTGGAATCGAAATAAAATGGTCGAATAAAAACTCCCTAATTGAATATCGGTGGGAATGGTTTTCTTTTCTTTCTCTTCAATGTAATGGGATTTCTTGTGCGGTGATTCGAGAATTATTCTCTTACCACCACACCATTTTTTTTTCTCTTATCTATTTTTTTCTATCATTACCCACCGTCAAGACCGACTGACTACGATCGATCCTAGTTCTCACCGTAGCGACAGAAATCTCATTACATTCGCATCCTCCGTAGACGCGGTAGCGAGTCGTGCCTTGAGAATCTTTTTTCTAATGACATTTCGAAATAAAAATTGACGTAAAAAGCGTCAAGGCTGTCGCATTACCGTTATAAATTCAACGGATCGGCACAGCGTAGCGTGAAAGAGGAAAAATATTTCTCAATTTCACTTCATCTCGTTATAATATATCCGTGTATTATGTTCCCGTGGCGTCGCGAGGAAGATGAGTTTAGAGGGTTTTGAGAACGCCGAAGGGAGACGACTATGTGTCCTGTGAGGAAAAGAGGGATCCCGGGTACCTCGTGCAGAAGAGCTCGTAAGGTTGAGACGTTTCAGATCTATCTAGGGTGGAGAAAATTCAATTTAAAATGGCGGCTCAGATATAATGGCAGCCTCCGGTACGGCGTCACCCACCCCAACTCATCTCAACTTTGCCAGCCGCTCTCGCGCATTTCGTCGCCACTGGCACTGCTGCCATCTTATAGAAATAGAATACCGTAACTAGTAGGAGCTTTTAAAGAGGCAGCGAAACTCCCGCGTCACGACACTACTATCTCAACAAAATGGCGTATCCGAGGACCAGAGGTTGTGTACGAAATATTACTAGAATATTAATAGTGACAATAAAATATAAATTGTCTCCTGCTCGTCAAATACCTTGAAATCTTTATCACAGTCTGACGTCACATAATCCACCAGGTTAAATAGGTACTATCCCTTTATGCCCTTTGTGCATGGATTATAACCAGCGACTAAAAGCAAACCGCATTTTACTTGGCATCGGAGTTTAACAGGGTTAAGTCGCGGCGGTTGCTGGGCTTTTAACACAAACAACACTCTGCATTATATATCAAAAGACCAAAACGCAAGCGGAGACTGTTTTAATATGTACCACTCGGAATTCACTGCTACCGTCCTGTCACCGGCTGACCCGGTATCTAACCTCCGCTACTCTGCCGCCATCTAGCGGGGACTTTGAGAAGCGGAAAAATTGTAATCTGACAGTTGCTCAAAAATGGCACGCAGCAGTTGTACGGGAAACGCGACTGTGAGATCCTTCCACGATTTTTCGGCACCCCTTCGAGGATTCGAGGGTGTCTTGGATCGACATTTGCGCCCGTAATTCGATTTCGCGACCCCACATGCGTCTTTGATTCAATTATTGGGATGAGTCATGGTCAGAAAGACGGATATAGACGCTGTTCAGTGAACGAAGTAGAATGTTGTATAACATAAGAAAAATTACTTATACGTCGTACACGAGTTTATTATCAATTCCTTGTATGTTGTGTTATTAGAAAATGAGCTCTACTTTGAGACAGTTTCATGTGCCGGTACCTTGTTCAGAATTCCAAAAGCCGGATGACTGTCCTAGTACCCCTAGCCAAGTTCATTACGTTAATCCATTTAGGTCGTGGGTCTACATTAACACGGTTCGGCACTCACTGGAAGAATTTCGAGCTTTCCTCCTTAGGCACGAATCAACTTTATTTGAATTCAACGATAATTTCAAAATTTTGAACGTACCGTATATGCATAGACGCAGTGATAATTCACGAGATTAAGTGATTAAAAAAAAAAAACTAAAGTTACCATTGAACGTATTTTTCGTACTCACCTGAATCCTAGCCTCGTTCAATTTAGTGCTTCTAGCCAGTTCTTCTCTGCAGTATATGTCAGGATAATGAGACTTCGCAAAGGCAGACTCCAATTCCGCTAGCTGTTCCTGGGAAACAGATAAAAAAATCCACGCTAAAATTGTATTACCATCACAAATTCCTTACAATCAAAAAAATCATAGGAATTTATTGGAATGAAAAAAATATATATATATTTCATAATAAAAAAGCAAACCTGGGTAAAGGTAGTCCTGTGTCGTCGTCGCGCAGGGGTTGGACAGCTGGCAGTGGTTGGTGTGTGACCAATATGTGGACTAGCTGCGCATGGTTCTGGTTTCAATTTTTTGAAAGCTCCTTCAGCACCTGTAATCATAAAAACAAATAATTGTATCGCTGCACGTAAAGGTATTCACGATATTGAGGACTTTGAGTATATAGTCTAAGCTTGCTTTATCTTCTTTTAAGATCAGACTGACCCAGGACCACGAACTGGACAGAGATTCGGATGCCAGTTGTCGAAGTCCCCGTAGAGGAGTGACGTCGTTTCGGATCCTGGCTTTATGAACGGACGAACGGGGTAACCGTAGCGGGCGAAGTCCCTCGCACTATGCTAACTTCGTTAGGGCGTTAATGACCTAATCATGTTACATGCTGATTCAATGCTGAAGGATGAATGCTGTCCACTTTACATACCTTGCCCTGTTACCCTGTATTCAGGGAAACTCGGTCAAGTTCACCAAGAGGCGTCAACGCACTTGGAACTTTCTTCCTTGAGCGTAACTCGAAAGGTAATTTTTTGACTTGACATTGAGAAAAATTAAATTTTGGAAAATTGCTTAAGAATTTGTTCATATTTTGATTAATTTTTATTTTACTTTATACAGCATCCTCACGGTACTCGGTTTGTACAGAATGGCCTGTGCCTTTAATGCTTCGCAGGCTGCATCCTTCGTCCTGAAATCCCAGAGCGAATCATGGACCCTTATATACTCGATATTCTGAACTATCAGGATCCCGACGGGACGCTCGTCCTTCCGTCGAAAACTTTCTGAATTTCAAAGCGGCGATCTACGCTGAAGAGACCCATCTGTCGGGATGGAAGAGATTGGACGTGGTGAATAATTAGTAAATAATTTTGACCAACGACTATGATTCTGTACTGAAATAGCCATCAGCTGTCCTGTATCGGCATCTGGACAGGATTAGAATTAGGAAGTAGTGGAAGAGTAGCATTTCCTTTTTTTTTTTGAGGTTAATCCAGGATTGTAGGATTTAGATGCTCAGTGATTGGTTGTCAATTTTCTGCGTATATTGTATTAATTATCGATTTTATTGTAACGCGAGAAACGCAGCAATGAGTTGTGAGGTAAGCAAGGAAAAATACTGGAGCGAGATACTTTTAATTCGTCCCAAGGACTAAAGGGGTTGAAGAGGTTAATTATTCTCACGACTTTCGAGCCGACGTCGTCACTCTTTTATTTGCATAACAATCGGACGTCGTCGTCTTTACGCGACGTCCGGGAACCCTGACCTTGGGAAAGAATTAGCATTGAAGACATTAACATTTTTTTATCCTACAGCATTTTTCACCTTTTTCTTTCTGTTTCTAGTTGGGCTATCACGCATTCTCTCTTCCATCGATCCCGTATTCACGAAATTCGTGACTCTTCCGTCTGCCCGTGAAACTCTGCTGAACTTTCCTGACTCTCAAAACGATCGGAGACTCGAGTTTAAATTTGCGATGGACCGGGAAATTATGCAAATTCAAATCCAACGGGAGTACGAATAATACATGAGGAAAACCACAAAGAGCGTATGGTTGCCCTTGCGTATTCCATTGGAAAACACCGAAGAAAGTGTCGAGAAAATTGGCGCTAGAAAATTCACTGCAAAATGTAGCAGTCGACACCAAGTAAATGGATAATTTACAAAATACTTGTAAAAATTTCAAGGATTGTTTCAGTCACCCAGTAGAGACTTGAACGCCGGTATAAAACGATTTTGGCAAAATATCAAGTAAATAAAAGTAAAAAGTTTTCTTCAATAGACCAAAGGTTTACACTATACAAATTTTTGGGAAAAGGAGTAAAAGCATTAGGTGTTACTTTCGACATGGGTTCGCTATCCGATATTTCGAACCTACCCCATTAACGCACCCCTGGCACTAAGCTCTCTTAAACCCCCATGAGCACATAATAATAGCCCATAGAGAACAGGTACTACCATATGTCTGACCCATAGCCCATTGTCAACACTCAGGCGTGTCGTAGTGACAACACGCGTCTCTACTCGAAGCTCAACAACCGGAAAATTCATCTATTCCCAGACAACGTTGTACACTTTTCGGTACTACAGATACTCTACATTCTGTGATCCGATTTGATGCTATTTATCAACCACAAGCATGGACTTCTAGACAAGAATGAACCTCCACTTGGACCATTTGATAAAATTTGATTTACAAGTAAAAACAAATATATATTGATAATTGACAACAAAAAATCATTATATATATATATATTTTAATTTGAAAAAAATCTTTCTAGGGTTTCAAAAGCAACAAACTTGAAGATACTCACCAACAGTTGTAGTAGCGCCAACGCTGTTTCTACCAGGCGTCGCGGCGGGCGTCGGAGGACTTGCTTCCAATCCCTGATGAACACCGTAAAGTCCAAAGTCCTGCTCGTTTGAACTGGTGCTGCTGCACTTCCTCTTCTCTTGATTGTGATTCAGGTGAAAAGTGTCATTTTCAACAAGGCCGACCCCAAGGAGTCCAAGATTGGGCCTGAGCTCATCCATCAGTTTGTTCTGTCCGCAATTGGCCGCCGAGAAGTTCAACTGTCTGCTGAAGATAGCTGGGAAGATGTTGAACTGTTGATGATCCAAGCTCAGTGCTGTCGTCGAGAGAGAACTTCCTACGGATGAACCGACGGAACCCACTCCACCACCGGGGCCAGTACTTCCGGATAAATCGTTAGCCAGGGTGATGCCGGGGTGACCTTGAGGTCTTCCGAGGAAATGAGTCAGTCCCTAAATGCTCTTTACGAGGACATCGTACTCTTCAGGACTAATTAGGGACTAGGACAATTAAACCGTACGTATGTCTCTTAATTATAATTTTCCTCGGTAACGATCACCAAGGAAGGCTCTTTCTCTTAATTGCTCTTAATTACAAACACTGACACTCTAACAGTGCTTTCTAGTATACTTTGATCTTCGCCACTTCCTGTTCAAGCAATTTATCACAATTGTCACGTACTACTCTATTCCGATTAATCTTGATGACTGATGGCTTTCGATGAACATGCACTTTTATAAAGTTTCCCACAATTTTCCAGTGTACCGTAACCTACCAGTGTTCAGGAGGAATGATGAAAAATTTTGAAGATTCTTAAAAGTTCACCGGCAGCCCTGGCAAGGATTCTTTAAACGATCCCTCAAGTTCACCTCGCTCCGTTCCAGCTTGAATACGTAGGACATACACTGACAGGAAGTTCCTTCTTCTTCCGCAGGATGGTTATGGGTAGAGTATCAGTTGTCAGCAATCCATCCTTAGAGGGCTATTAACGTGTAAACACCTTTTAGAATCCTGAATGCTGTCTATGAAGTATCTGAAGATGCGTCAGCACGAGAAATCCAAGACCAAGTAAAGGCGACACGACGACGGGCGTTCTGACGACGAACTTTGTACGAAGCGACTTGAAGTAAAGCCAACGAACGATGAAGCTTGGAACTTGACTAGCTCTAATGAGAGATCGAAAAGTATGTCGGGTAATACTTAATCAATTGGAGTTAACGTTATTCGAGTGACCCAGTGCACCAAGTAGGAAAAGAACGGCACGAAACGATATCCCGGTGCTCAAATCGTGGCTGAGATCGAACCGAACGCGGCCTTGATTCGAAATTCAAATCTTATTATTGCGCAGATCCAATTAAGGCAGCTCGTCCTTGAAAATTCAAATATCGAAATAATTGGACAGAATGGCGTTAGGCAAGATAGAACCGGGGTACCGTTCGGCGTGAGTTCTTGTGGGATTCTGTCCGCGAAATGCAGTTATCCCGGTGACTTGGGGTTGCGGGGTTTGGGGATCGCGAGACTCACCCTCGCAGTCAGCAGTACCAGCATTGGGATTGGTCACCCGTTAGAAGCGTTACCCTGGTGACGGCCAATCCTCTGACGCCAACCCCAGAAGCAGCCTCCAGCTTCGAAGATGGCGGCCGTCCAATGAAAATTCCTCCGGAAAATACCCCACTGGCGATTCTTCCTTTTTTATATCTCCTTCTCTCTCGCTCCGCCAGTTCTCTCTTTCCATGGTTTACTATTTTTTTTACTTTCGTTCTTCGCCCCCCAACCCCCCTCTCTCACCCTTCACTTTTTTATTCCACGGTAGATAGCTTTTTTAATTCTTTTTCCTCTTTCAGGATTTCATTGTAACGTACACCCATGTCTACTCCTATGGATTCTGCATTCGCTATGGACCACCGTCATCTTGGCTATGCGTGACACATAATCATGGATGTTTTATAACGCGACATAACCGTAGCTTGCGTTCTGATCGCCCGCGGGCTTTACTCTCTGCCGCTATCTCTATTCCACGTTATACTCCTCGACGCTCCACCGCACTTTGCGTTTCCTCTCGTCATATTCTGCGCCTCTGCACGCTGCCGCAGTTGGATGGAGATCCGCCATTAAAATACGACTAGAAATTGCATAAGCACGCGTTATAATACACCGAATAATATTTCGATACTTATTTAGTCACGTAGGGCATTTTAAACTTTCGTATACGTTACGGAATTAATTTAAATCTCTCTTTGACTCCGTCAGTACACTCGCTTGTAACGATTCAAACATGGCCGACCTTGCAACTCTTTAGAGTCTACAAACGCATCTAACAAATCTATTCAAGTTGTATGAAACTCACGAGGCTCTGCGATGAGAAGTAATCGTGACTTTTTTTTCACTATGGAAAAAACAGAACGCCCACTGGACGCGTGTCGAAAATTGTTCAAGCTGTAATTTGCCCGACAATACTCGTTCGTAGCGACAATGTCGAAAGCGGGCCAATTCAAAACCAAAATTACCCCATTGAGGCTTTGCATTGTTATATACTCACCTAGTCCTGGCTATACTCTGTCCTTTCCCGTCTGACAACGTTCCCAGGCAATTCGAAGGATTACTTTTTCACAAACTTTTCTCGAAAAGACTCGAGAGTGTCCGATAGAAGTAAATTTATGTTTTTTTCCAAAAATACTCTTAATTCGGTACATCTAAAACTTTTTTCCATTACTTTTACTTACATTGTACGCTATTCACGTATACATTATATGAATATGTATATACGTATATGCATACATATCGTAATGTCAAACCGCTATTTGTACACGAGAGAGGGTTTAATACGTCTATCCTATCAAGGGTAGATTATACGAGCAGATTAGATGCCAGATAGCTTTCCAGAATATCCATGGACCATATGCAAGTTGTACTTTGTAAGGGTACTCCAGGGTACGGTGCACCCCGACAGGGGTAACTTCTGATCGCTTATCAATTAGCCAGTTTCAAGCTTGTGATAAAAAATTGATAAGCCCCTCACCCCCTCTAGCGGCAGCAAGATCCCTTTGCCTTATTCGGATATTAATCAAGGGATGAAAATCGTTATCGTTACACCCACGTAAAACGTTTACCGTAGACGCAATTGGTGCAGCCGCGCCAATTTATAGTACGAATGGTTAAAGTAATATTAAGGTTTTTGAAAATTTTCATATTTTACAAATTTTCCTTATCGAGGTAACTGATTAATCCATATGGGAGGATCGCCCTTAGTATTTCCTGAGGGTAAGTACGCGAATAGATGTTACTGCGTGGTATAAATATATCTAGAGAGCAGTGACGTATATCAATACTGTACAGGCGTATTTTACTGGTTCACGCATTTGGACGCACATGCGTGTCTCCTTTATCCGTTCGAACCTATATCTTTTGACTATACATATAGTTCATTCGTGGCAAGTGTGACAGATTTTGACCACGCCCCACCGATATGGTAGTCCCTACTAGTGTATTCCACCCTCTCCCAATATCACCCTCTCGAATCGACTAGCTTTGATCCTACATCCGGTCCAGACAATTGTGGGGGATCAGTCGAATTTTTGTAATTTTTATTCTTTTTCCGATGGTTACGAGGCCAAAAAAAAAAGTTTTCCAAATCGCACGTACTTTCGAACTATTCTCAAATATTGAGTCGGTAGATTCATCAACCGCCTACTCAAAGCAACCCCGAACACCCTCTGACTCGGGAACAGAGAGAATCGACAGAGCGTTCGCACTCCTAGGTGGTGGATCTTGGAGAAGAGAGAGAGAGAGAGAGAGAGAGAAAAAAGAAATTCGAATAGGCGTATCCAGTGGAATTAAGAAAATTGGCCTATTCAAAATAGGCACAATATTTTGACGTGGTTTTTATTCGAGGCACGTGCATCCACAGGGCACTCGAGCGCCACGTGTCAATTCAGTCAACTATGTTTCAAGTACGCACTCTATACGAGTACCCGTGCTTATGGAATTAACGAGAAAAAATGAACAAGTTTTAGGGTGACTTTTTGAGGTTAGAAATTTTCAATAATTCCATTAACAGCCGTGAATTCAAATGAGTGAATTTTAATAATGAATATTAAGACACATTTTTTATACTTTATCATCCACGTAATACTTCTTTTTTTTCCATCCACCTTTAACGTCCATTTTTTTTTGCTTCTTTACCACCGTCTTCCTCACGCTCTACTCCTTCTCTCTACTCTACTCCGTCTACTCCTTCGTTCTCTGCGCTTCAATCTTCTTTTTCTCTCGCATGTTTTGCCAAGAGCGCTCATAGCGGAAGCGTCACGTACTACTCTGAAACAAAAACGTAGCGACGTCAAATGCGATTACGAGAGCTGCGAGAGCTCCAGAACGCGGATGCTGCGCTGCTGGGTTAGGGATGCTGGGGGCGAGGGGGAGGATTCTGAGCGTGCAGGATGTTACGAGAGAGGGCGTTACGGAGGATGAGAGCTACGGGGATGAGTTAGGGGTCGGAGTTGGGAGATTCTGTGAGGGCCGAGAGCGAAGGCAGGAGGTATGTATACGAAAAATCGATCACTCCATTCGACGCGCGTAGGTATATGATTCCCGGGGCCAGAAACGCTCTGATTAATCGAGATAGGCTACTATAGGAAAAATCACGGATTATCCCGTGGACAACAATCACCCTGTCGAGAGTTTGTACCAACCGATCGAAGAATGTCTCTCACCTCGATTTTTTCCGACTACACAAGCTCACACAATATTTCTTGTTGACTTTTGACTTTGCTTACCTACAGTGACTACTTGTTGCATGTATCACGTATTGCCGCTGACAAATATATACAATTCGTAAAGGCATACTACGTGATTCAAGATGTTAGGTTAGGTAAGGCTGTTGTGTAAAATTTTTTTACCTCCCCGTCACGAAAATCTCGGAGTTCCTTTTTTTCTCTCTTAGCAACACCCAGTAGAATTGACTTTTCGATGCTGCTGGCTGAAGTTGACGATGGCTGGCCAAGCTTCCATTAAAAAGTTGTTAAACGCAGCCTGACGGCACCCTGCGGCAAATTGAAAACCCATCATAAGTCTCGCTTGTATATAATGTACAGGGTTGTTAGAATGAACCCTGGTGCACCCTGTAATCCCTCCTGACTTCAAGGAAGAAGATATCGATATCGAAATAATTCGCTATCGCGGTGTAAATATTTCGATCGGCTTTCTTCGGGTTCCTTCGACAATCTTCGTCTAAGGTAAGTCAATTTCTTTACTTATGATTGTCGAAGACCAATGTTTTCTGCTGAATGCTCGATCTGCGCTAACGTATCTATATGTACTCTTGGATAGACTTTTTCTATAGTAGCGCCGTAAAGGCCTTAACCTCTATGTGGCTTTTTCCTTGGTCTTCTTGCTCTGGGAAAAGCTTTCGAAAAAGTTCAACGCTCTCGTCGTGGTTCTTCTGACTGGAAACTCTTGGCCGGTGTAGAGGCGAGTGAAAAATAAGAGAAAAGCGTCACGTAAAAAGTATCGGGCTTGGGGGGGGGGAGCGGCTTGAGAGGTCGAGTTAAAAGTACGTAGGACAGTAACGGCGTGTAAGAGAACGTAGAGGACGTGACGTAACGATTAGCTAGACCATGGGCAAGCTTTGAAAAGTAATTTCTTAATGTCTATTCCAACGACTTACGGTGTCAGGAAAGTTTATAAAAGTAAATTGAGGCAGTGAAAAAAATTGTTTTATTTAATTGAAAAAAAAAATTAATCGACGGTTTAAGGACGGTAATTTTTTTTGAAATTTTTTTTCATTTTTTATAATAACCAAAGGGTCAAAAGGAAGGTAATTAATTGCCGTAAATCGTTGCTGGCCGGAGGGGTCTGATGCGAACCAGGGGAGGGTTCGGATTCTGTGGGAAGTCAAAAAACCGCAAGAGCATTTCAAATTCTTTTTACTGTAATAACGTGGTATCTACGTGTATGCGTTAGGGGGTCAGCTTTCAGGTTAACGTGGTTAAGAAAATATTTTTAAAATAATTTTGCACTTAACTCCCGGTTAGAGGGGTGGACTGCTGCTTTTCAGCCGTTTTTTCCTCTTCGTCTCGTTCTCTTAGGTGTATTTAGCCAAAAGGAAGAGGTAAAAAAATAGAGCCAGAACCGACGGTTCCGACGAGCTCGCGAGTTTTTACCTCTTTATTTTTTGTTCTACCCCTTAAGTGAATTTCGACCGCTTCAAGAGAGACTGGCGGGAAGACTGAAGAGGACGAAGGAAACAGAGAGAGAGAGAGAGAGAGAGATAGCAGCTCTCATTCGAGACGGTAACTTCCTCATACGGTCGATCGCTTTTAACGAGGGTGGACGGGTGGAAGGAAAAAAAAAAAAAATGAAAACGAGGTAAATTTGAAGCATCGACAATCCGTAAGATTCGAGGAAATAACCGTAAAATTACTGATTCCCAATCCGACGCCATTTTTACCTTATGAAATTTATTGATAAGGGTGTCAGGAAAATCGTATAAAAATATAACGATAAGGCTACATATATATACTGTAAAAATGTAAATAATTGAAAACTTCATAACAAAGGGAAAAAAAAGAAGCAAAATTGGCAGCTAATGAAAATTTCCTTAAATATGAATTCAAAGTTTGGAATTTTTGAGTGGACAAAAAACATCCCTTATAATGGCACTCACTTTCGATCTCGTCGCTGAATCTGATTACTATATCGAGTGGGGTGAGTCGGATGCAACGAGATTTTACAAAAGGGAAGGAAATACGTAAAATGCAATCCTTTTATCTGCATCGCCCTGACTCGACCCTTATCAACACTGTACCTATATATTCCTATTGACAAGGGTACACAGGGAAAATGAAAAAAAAAAATTAATTTTTAAATTGATATCAAAATAATTATCATGGTTGACCAAACAAATGACTTGACGTATATTTTCCAAAAATTTCATCCTACTCCTATCTTCATAGGGATAATTTACAAGGGGGTGGTCCACGGAGTTACGCAATCCTACAGGAACGGGTAGCGAAGCAGAGTTGCGTTCAACCATCCGGAAGCTATGAATATATTATTTGGCGGGCAGTTTCCGGCAGACTCCGATCGGATGGAACCATCGATCACGGATGGCGCATCCCTTTGGGCAATTTTCATGCGTCAGAATGCGACAGTATCGTGATTGCCGATGGAATTTTTTTTTTTTTCAAAAAGATCCCAAAAGTCAAAAATTAATAACTAAATATATTTGGACTTTTTTCATTTTTTATCTATAATCCAAACCTCTGTAAATTACTGATTGACTTTTAATTCCAAGCTCAAAATAATGCAGTTGTCTATACGCCGTATCGTTGAAGTGTAAAAATAGGCGGGAATTTTCAAAAAATTCCGAACCATTAAAACAGATCGACAGGGGGTATTGCGTTGAGGGTATCCCTGTTGGTGGTCCAGGGTGGTCGGTTCAGTATGAATCAGTCAGTAGAAAATTCAATGACGATTAGACTTACGCGTCGACAGTTTCATTGTAATAGTTAATCGTGGGTTGGATGATTTTATAGAAAAAAAGAATAAAAAAAAAAGGGAAAAAATTGTATATGTTCTGATTGACATCTATTAATTGTCGTCTGATGAATCTTTGAAAAATAAAAACTTCTTATAGCGCATAGATTGATTTTTATTCAATTTTGACTTGCTGTCAAATTTTTTTATTTTCTTCTCCATTCTCTTGATCCTTTGACTAACTATAGGAATTTCGGGCTGTGTTAATGTCCTTCTATCTAGACGGATAGAGAGAACAGCGAAACATCCACTCCTGTACATTGTTTGCGGCTTGGAATCAATAAAAGCATAGCTTTAGGCTACGCTGGTCGCCATGGCAACCGGAGACCCATCCGCTTCTCTGTTGCTGCTCAAAAGTTCGGGTCCGCCTACCGCGGGATCATCCTCAAATTTTCAATGAGAAAGTTCCCGCTTTCTTCAATTACCATCGATCCCCCTGCCATTTTCCTTCTGATTTCTGCCAATTTACCAGAGTCCATTGCTCCGTCCACGCCATTGCATAACAATTTTTATACCCTCGAAATTCAACATTTCTTCCCTATGCCATAATAATACCGTACTTGTACATTACAAACAAACAAAAATAACCGCCTAATAAAAAAAAATTAAAAAATTCTTATTTCATATCAAACGTCAAAATTTTGACAATTAAAATAGTCATCGACCCACTTTAAAATAACATACACATTATATCTTTTAACTCCTATATATACTGTTACGAAAATCATGCCTTATTTTCTAAAAAAAAAAACTTATTTGGTCTTCATCCACTCAAATTCTTCTGTATGCGATATTGTGCAGCGAATAGTAGCGATCGGAGCAATATTGAAAATCGGTTTCAAACTATCCACGAATAGGGTTAATACCTTACTTTTTGCCAGGCTTTCCCACTCGATCAGAAATCCAAAATGAAACCATGCCGCCCCCGTAGCGTCGCGCCATAAGAAGCAACTCGCGCGGTACGCAAACTCAGTAAAAACGTCGATAAATGCGTTTAGCTCGCAGATGGAAAACACAGGCCGACCGAGGATCGTACCGAGTGGATTTAACAGCCGCAAGGATTTTGAATCGATTCGCCCTTGTTCGATCTCACATTTCTGCAGCTATGAGGTAAATTAACTATTTCAACCCGTCACATAACCTAATTCTCTGGCCAAAGATTACCAGCGGGCTTCTTTGAAAGGAATGCGCGACAGGTTGTTTCTCACGTAACCTATTTCCTCGTGCACAAGGGATGCATCATCCCTCCTTTTGAATAAAGATCTAACTGTCGATAGTCACAGAGACAGATCAAGGGTGGTTTATTTAAAAATGCACATCGCCGCTTGCCATTTTCGTATCTAATTTCATTCCATGCTGTTATGCATTTTATAAATTGATATCAAAGCATTACAATGACAACATACCTAGGATGACATTTGTTACAGAATCATTGATTACATGATAAAACGATTGATGGAATGATTTGTTTGATTTATGATTTATTTTTTTTAATTGTGTATAAATATATATATATTGGTAACAATTAAATACTTAATTGACATAGTTGTTGTTTCATTTCTTTATAACCTATTTTTCATGTATCACTGTTTACGGATAAGAACAGGTCAGGCAGCCTCTGTAAGGCGACACAGGTACATATGGGCTTTCTCGCTGAATGGACCAAATGATATAAATTATTTATGGATTTCGACACCCGGGGGGAGATGGGGGGAAGTGTTTTGTTCCAGTTGGGGTGCACACCCACTGGGGGTCCACTTGCACCAGTAAACCCCTTGGGTCCCCCCTGAGCATATGCATTCTAGCTCGACCCCTAGTAAGCCTGTAAAATTGATTCCTAAGTACCCCGTGTTCCTCTGTACTTCTCAGTCTTTTAACACCTACTATATATGTGTATATATATAGTCTGTAGGCCATTTTTTTAAATTAATAAAATACAAAATTTTCTATCCATCTAGATCAGGGTTCACTGTCCTACTGAACACTCGATTATTCATATATTGAAATCTTTTTGTAAAGAAAACATCCTCAAACTTTCTTAGGATTAAACGTGAATTCTGGTTGAGTATTTTGTTGTTGCTTGAAAATATATGAATAATATGAAAAAATGATTCTGTAGGCTTTTTTGAAATGTTGCAACAAATGTCGAAATGCGAGACAGACCTACAAGATCGACCCCCCCAAGGGTGCAATCTAAATCAATGGGCTTGTGGGTAATCGCATAATAATTACTGGGACCCCCCCTACCGTCCATCTGTCACCCTGTAAGGGTGCTCTCGTCCCCTAGAAGAGGCACTGCCAGAACGATGTGCACCAGGAACACGTCCCAGCAGGTCCCATTGTTATTGGGCACTGGTTGGAATGTATCGTGGAGTGCAGTACAGATTTAACTGTAGGATTCAGTATGTGGTTGTAGAACCACCAAATAGTCAAGATTATTTACAGTTTGACAATAATGATTGATCTTCTTTTTTTTTTAGTAATACGTTGCTCGTCCTATTTCTCACAATCTGGACTGAGATTGCTGCAGGATTTCGTGGACCTCATCATCCCAGTGGAAGCATATCCCATCATCATTATGTACCGCAGAATGAAGTCAAATTAACACAGGATGCTGAATTGCTGCACGATACTGCGTAAGTTTGATTAAATGGCATTGCGATAAATAAAAAAAATGTATTAATTTATTTCTTCTATCAGACACTTGAAGGAAGACATGGGCGCTTTTGCTGATCAATTGGATTTAACGAAGATGACAGAACAAGAATTGGAGTTTCATTATTTCAAGTGAGTATATACTGGCTTTTTTTTTAAACTATAACATTGTTACTTTTATTCTTTTTAATTTGTCACAGACTACACGACGTTGATAATAATACGAAATTGGACGGGTTGGAAATACTTCATGCTATTCAACACACCCTTCATGAGGACGGAGAAGATGAGGAAAACAAGAATGAAGATAACAATGAACACAGGAATGATTTACATTGGATAGTAGGTCGGTATGAATAATCTTTTTTTTTTTTAATAATTTGGATATATATGAACTGCTATTTCTTTTTGTATATTACTCAAAGAGCTCATTGACAGAGTTCTTGAGGAAGACGATCTAGACAATGATGGCTACTTGGGGTACACTGAGTATGTACTGGGTCGGCAAAGAGATCAAAGCGAGAGAGGTAAACGAGATAAGAAACTCGAAATCCGGAAATAATGCTGTTGCATATAATATTGAACAGAACTACGGACTTTGTAAACAGCAGGGTGCTTAAGAACGTGTCTCAATAAAGTTGCATTTGCCATTGTATAAACGATTGTGCCAGTATGTCTTTTAGGCACCGAGGCTCTATTATATGTAATACATGCATAACAGCAAAACAAATTTAAAATAAAAAATCATTTCTGGCAGCAAAAATGTTTATTAAAGAATGATGCATCAATAATGATACATGACTGTAAGCCATTGAATTAAAAGTTCTTTATATATCATAAAATAGTCAAAGTAAGAATATAAAATATTTGTCAGTGACGACAAAGTAATATCAGTAATACTATGAGAAGTATTGAGGTACGAGAACAGAATTCAACTTATGAAAAGAAAATATAGTTTCGTTGATATCATGCAGAATTGAATGAAATAAAGTGTGCCAATGCAAAGTGTTTGTATACTTATAAATTATGATGCAACAGGCAATGGCTCATCCGTCACCAGAATTCCTTTCTCCCAGAGATCCTTCACTACCTGAAGCTAAAATTCATATTATACATAAATAAATGATTTCACATCACTATATAAAATATTAATTACTTTATCATGGTCGTCCTCAATAGGTAAATCCTCAACAGCCACAAAGTCTGGATAATTCAATATAATGGCTTCCACTGCAGGTGCTAGTTCCCTTGAAATCTCTAGGTACTCTGGTTCGTACTCGTGATACACCTTGGAATTCTCGGTGGAATAATAGATCCTGAGATCGCCATTCACATCGACCAATCTATTAGCAGAATTAATGACCAATTAGATATGCATAATATATATGAACTTCCTGTTTCGATGATATCATACCTCACACAGTTGGCTTTCAGTAATCTAACTCTGGTATCTGGTTCTATCTCGACACGATTTTCAACAACGCCATCGGCGACCATCCTCTCGCCGTCCTCATAGACTGAGCATACAGTTTCCTGTGCAGTTAGCGCTGGTGGCAGATAATCGTATATATGTCGCAATGCCATGCTATCCGCAGCTTTATCTACGTCTATGTGGTCCACCAGTTGGTGAAGTAATTCTTTTGTCTTTGTGATAAACTGGGTTCGCTTTTCACTCTCGGTGTTAGAGTAGACGAGTCCCACGTGTCTTAGATAATCGAGAGGCAATCCTCGACGGAATTCGCAGTCATTCATGATGGCGCGATCGAGAGCTTCGGGGATGAGTTTCTCAAGAAAATCGCACCAGCTATTTTTCTGATAGACACTCAAAGTAATATGCAGACTGTGAACACCGTCGATTGTTTCACCCTGATGAGTGGTTCCTCGTGGGAAGTACAATAAATCCCCAGCTTCCACGACAGTATCCAGTATAGGCTCGCCGATTTCATCACCTGTAAAATTTCCGGAGGAATTTCGTGCCAGGTAATCGCCGTCTGTCTGTACTCCATAAAGTCTCCATCTTTTTTTGCCCTCGATTTGTAAAATGAAAGCTTCTATGTCATCGTAGTGGGGTGCGAATCCTTGACTGTCTGGTGGAGTTAGGTAGGAATTGGCACCAACGAAGCAGCCAAAATATTCTTGGAGTGTCGCTGAAAAATGATTTTAAGTAATACACAAATATATGAGAGTAGATTGGATTACTTAATAGATTTTCTTACCATTCAAGGTATGAAGTTTTGGAATAAAGGATTGGGGATTTAACATTCTTACTGAACAACCATTCATGTAATAATCCCACACCACAGTGGGATGAGCTCGACCTGGGGGATTGTGAGTTGTTCGCTCCCCATTATTATAGGATGTAATATCAATGTTTTCAGTGAATTTGATAAAGAAGTTACGCAAGACACTATCGAGTATGGGGGTTGACATAAGCTGTTTATAATAGTTAGATTTCTTTCGTTTAATATGCAACGGTCTCATCTCCCAATTTTGCCTTTAAAACAATTTGATTAATCAGACTAAGCCCTTTTTACAAAAATTCTTGATCATTAAATGAACATACTCAAAAAAGTCTTCGATTTTGACTGGATGAATGAGCCACTGGAATAATGTCTTGCCTTCCTCAGCAGAGTCAAGAACTGGTAGCTTTTCTATGATTTCCTTATCTATATCAAAATCTACAGATGCTGAATTGTGATCCATTTGATTCTCTCCATTAATTGGTGATGCATTCTTTTTCTTATTAACTCTTTCCTTTAGATTTTTCTTCTGTCTCTTCAATTTTTGCCCTCTGGACTTCAGAGTTCGGTTGGATGATTTTGACGAATTCAAAATGCTTTCAGATGATTTAGATTTATTTTCATACTTTTTTGATGATTTCACAGGGTCTTCATCATTTAAGACATTTTGTTCGAATATCTTCTTAACTACTCCCTTTATCTTAGCTGGACTATGTGACTTTCTTTTTTTTTGCCTAGCAAGTTTAGTTAAAGATACAACAGGAAGAGTTTTATTCAACGATGTCTTTGTACCATTCGACTGTTTATCAGCCTTAATAGATTTGAGATCATGTTTAATTTTTTCCCTCTGTTTAGTCTCCTGACTAGGAGTTAGGTTTCCTAATGAAGCTCGTGCTTTCTTTGCCTTCTTCTGTTTAATTGAGTTATCCAAACTCCTGCGCTTCATGTTATAGGCTGCAAATGCAGATATAGTATTTCCTTTGGCAGCCATCTCAGTAACATATAATAGTAACGATATTACGACAAGTTTAAAATACTAAATTTCCTTAATACAGTCTTCTCAAAATTTCAGTAAACGTTTGCAACCCGGTAACCGCAAAAGGTTATACAGAAATCCACAATAGATTAAATTACTTTTTTCAAGTAGAGTATGGAGCGGAACTTCTGTACAAATAAGATTACGGTAAAACAATCATTATATACATATAAAAATGAACCCAATTATAATACTTACTTGTATTATCACTGATATTTTCATAAGACTGACTACTACACTTTCTGTCGCTGTGCGCAGATCAGCGCACGTGTTCACGCATACGACCGTTCAAGTATATCTGTACTATAGAGTTAAATAGTATCGTAAATAATTATGCTATACAGAGAAATTATTGCTTCTAATTAACTTACCCAGTATACTAGATCATTTTAATGAACCGATTAGAGGAAGATCCTAATCTCTAAGATTTTGAAAACTTCTGTAACGTGGTGAGTGCAAAAGAATCAGACATATTTATTTACGTGCATACGACAAGGACAGACATATCCAGAGTCCCGAAGTTTTACTCATTTATACAATTTCCAACCCACATACATGTTTTTCCTATTATTCAGTTGTTTGTATTATTATGGGTTTACACCCAGATATAAAATTGGACCAAGTCTTCCACTTGGTCGAACACGAATATTGAAGTTTCTCTGACATAAATAATTACATCAAAGAAACAAAAATTCTTTAACGCTCAATGCGATTTGCAATACTTCATATACATTCATATCCATATTGTAATTTTTGAAGCCAAGATCAAGCATGATCGAACAATTCGTTTTGTCAAAACTTTTATTCCATCCAAACTAAAGAACGACTAGCGAGAACAAAACGCCGTATTGTGGCACTACTTGAAACCAATCGTAACCCAAGTTTTCGAAGATTTGTATATTCATATGAATCTGACAAAGGTCGTCGAAACAAAATAGCAATGTAAATTGTACAGTGAATTGGTTTAAAAGTTTATTTAGATTTTTGTAATTCTAACACATTGATAATAAATCTTATACAGCTAGGATAGCTTACCTAAAAGAATTTTGACGTAAAGAAAATTATTTCCCGTATTATTCGCGCCACAATGCGCAATACCTACGCCGGCTCAGTACGGTAAATACACGTTGCCGCCTGACGCCACGTAACTTTCCTTCCAAGAAAATAAAATGAGAAAGACGAAAGTCATTAGAGCAAATTTGTAAGTGACCCGTTTTTACCGTTAAAAGTTTAACGAAGAACCGTAATTTTCATCGAGCGGAAGGGCTCCTATTTTTGAATATGTATCATCGGTGGTACCGGAAACGATATGTACAACATGGGCGTATTTAAGTTTCTCAGTAATAAAAATTATATCAATTATTCATTTTACCTTATAAACGTGATTCAAGCAATCCTTCATTAAAGAACAAGATCGCGATACATACCTACAAACTATTCTGTATGCAATGGCGACGCGTTGCTTCTGAGCAAAGAGCGATCGACAGTTCATCCTGTAATATTAAATTGCATATCGATCGAAAACCCACAGTTGTCAATAAACCGCCGAGACAAATACGCGTTTAACATGGAATCTCAAACGAAAAAAATTCGACGCTTTCGCACTCTAAAGTCCCGAGTCTGCCGAGTTCCGTCCTTGACGCGCATGCGCGTCGTGATTTTCCCTTTGATTGGTAAAAGAAAAAGGACGCAGTGGCGCGTTATTCAAAGTGAATCGTTCGGTCGAGCTGGGAAAACAGAAGCGAACAAGCGTGAAGATCCTCGTGAGATATTGATTTTACAAATTTGAATAATCGGCAACGAGTCGGAGCTACAAAAGACAAGGCCCGATGCCACGTAAGACGAGGGAAGCTCGTAAAGGAAAAATAATTATATACGAATGACAAAATTACGAATAAACAAGTCCAAACAACGAGGTTATGTAATCTGTCTGTGCTAACGTCTGCGCCGTGTTAGCTTTATTAGTGCTGCTCATATATATTCATATGAATCTGGAATTAGATCAACAAAATATTCCAACGTGACTTCTGGGAAATACTTCAAACTGCTTTATCACCTCGTCGCTAACCGTCTACCACGATTAAAAGTTCTCTAGAGATATTCTACGATTGATATACTGAAAAACTGAGATTGGGATAAGACATTGATCGACCTTACTTACTGTTCTATCGAGAAATCATAATTATCGTCTCTTAGAGTTACATAAAATATTCATTTAACTTAAGTATACTTAACGACTTAAATCCAGCCTCCATTCACATTTTATGTTGCTCGTTAACGAAGATTATGTATCATGTATGTACACCGTGTGATAGTTACTCGAATTATTCTATTAATTCACATTAGACTCATCGATCGCATTGTAATTAACCCAACAAGGTTATTATGGCGCCGTTTTATGACTATGACCAATGCCAAATCTTTCGCGTCCCTTTACAGAATCCTCATTGCGCGTGACAATAAATAATTGAAATAAGGCAAACGCGATATTATACTCTGCAAAGTAGCTCAATCGTGTCGTTTCGACTTACATAAGATTTTTCAAATATTTATCATTACCTTCCTCCGTCCATTACTAAATAAATCAGATCCTGCGCTGATTATTTAAACAAAAGAATCGCGAGTCCGATAAAGCATAAGCCGTGCTTAATTTCCCGCGAGACACTGGAAAAGAATAAAACAAGCGAGTACAGCAAGAATGTAAAAGTTCGTAATTCGATGACAGTAAAAAAAAAATTCATTTCCTCAAATACAAAATGCCCGATCGAACAGCGTGGTCCGGGACCCCAATAAATCGTCATACGATTTATCGTAAACGGCTTCAATGCCAAAAGTGCATATCTCTTCTGTTTTATTGCATTGAACGTAAGAGCAGTAGCAGTAGCAATAGCAATGACAATAATAATAGACAGCAGCATCCTTCAAATATACATTACACTCTACATTAATGATAATCGTATAGATAATTACATTAAAAGTAAACGATTCCAAATTTTTCAATGATACCTATAAACGATCTTTTTTCTTTCGAAAAGAAAAGAAAAATTAATTTTAAAAATGCTCGTCGATCGCTTTCTCTCTCAGAAAGACAAACGTGATTAACGTGTCAATATTAAAAAAAAAAGTCTGATCGAGCATTCGTTATTTCAAGAGATGCTTAAAATCAAAGAAAAAAGAAAAAAAAAACAAAAGCGATTAATCGTAAAATATTACATGGTACTTGTTATCATTGTAGCGCAGTACGAACCTATAATATCCACGGGGTGTGTAATTTGCTATTTCGAAAAGCTGGTAAATTTACGTTACTACCGGAATAGAATGAGGGGAGGACGAGAAGGAGCGGAGGGGCGATCAGGGAAAAGAGAGGGGGAACGGCTATTTGACGTACGGGTGGGCCGTTTGGTTTGCTGCGGGTGCGAACATTTAAAATTACCGCGACATTCATAAATATATAGTATATGTATATATATATATATACTATACATACATATAATATGTATATATCTTACAACTAATCAATAACATGTTACCCGGCATTTTGATAAGACTCCAACAAATACAATTAAGTTACTTTCAATGTGCAGCCAGCTTAAACAATGATATCCGCCCTTAATAAATGACCTACTAGACACGTACGAATTCTTTGAAGTAACGAGCGATTTCTTTTTTTCGCCCTAAAAAGAAAAACATGCAGAAAGTCAAAGAAAGAATATAAAAAAAAAAAAAGTAATTCGTAATTCGCCTTCTCGTTTCTTCCTTAAAAAACTATCGGAGAGACTGATCGACGAATCCAGACGTATATGAGAGCCTGACGGCAGGATCGATTGCAATATTTAGAATACCGAAGATCGACTTATCATCGATCCCGATCGTTCCGTCGATCGGTACGAATGAATTATGGGTTTTTACAAATTTTCCATAAAAGTGTGACATTTTTTTTTCTGCCTGTCCTCATCGTTTTCACGTAGTCGAACGTAAGCGTCAGGCACTTCTAAGACCGCCCTATCGATCCGATTTTTCTATACGTTATTTTTGTCAATTTTTAATTATTTTTTTTCTCCACGAAATTTTCTTCTCTCCAATTTTTTTTTCTTCAAATTTAATGCAACTCGTTCGTCGCTATCTTTGTCTTGTCTTATTATTAAGACAAATCTTTACGCTGGAGGATCATCCGTCTATCATCCAACTTACACATATACACGATCCAGACACGCACTCTGAACTGATAGAACGATAATAATGATGATGCTGATAATAATAATAATAGAAATAACTAGTCTCTAGAAGACATCGCGTTGATCCTTAAGTATTCGGCAATAATAATAATAATGGTGTACGTAAGATTAATAAATCGTAGGGCATGCCGGGGGTGTCCGTAGCGCCGTGTGAATCCGAGCGTGATTGTTTAGATCAATAATTATTAATTACTATCAATCGTCAGCGATGTATCGGCACATACAGGCACACACGCATCACGCACTCTCACTTCGCCCTAACCTCCTCCGCCGCCACTTTTAAAGCTGACACGTTAAAACTCTATACGAATCTTAAACGAGGAATTCTTATATCGTATTTAATTGTATTACCTTAAAAGTAATTGCGAGACAATAAGTAACACGCGTTGCGCATGCGCGTCGATAGAAGTTCTTGCTTTGCCGAGTCGGACGAACGTTTGGGTTGGGTAGCCACCTCGACAGGTCCCAGGCGCGGGAAAAGCGGGCAAGTTTAAAATTGAAAAGATAACAGCGACCCACAGTCGGGAAAAAAGGGTTGTAAAAATATCTTTTGCAATAAATAAAAATGATATCGGATAAAAGTGTTGAAAGGATGTTCTTTTTTTTTTTAAATTACTCTTTCCGAAATCCTCCCGGCAGACACCTGTGGAACGTTGGACGTTCCGTGGCCGAGAATCGACGGAAAAGACCGATCGCCTGTTTCTGTCTCTCTCTCTCTCTCTGTCCTACGTGTTGGTGTATTTGTGCGTGGTGGGGTGGTGAGTGTGAACGTGGTATTAAAAAAAAGGCGCGAATTCTTCGCGATTTCAAAATCCCTTTGGGCGCTGCCTCGCGAGTTCGTCGCGAGAAGGAAGAGGATTATTTTTCGTTTTGTTTCGTGTGTTTTAAAGCGACGTATTATCACAGATCCAATTGGTTTACTTTGTTTTTTTTTCTCTTTCATCTTTCTCACTCTATATTCTCGTTTTTAGGGAAATTACCCTCGAGTCGTTCGGCTGTGAAAATTTTATACTGGCCGACCGTTTCAGGAATAATTTTCGTTACACTTTTTTCTTTTTCTTTGCCACTAGGATTTTTCTTCACTTTTTTTTTTCTTTCATTTTTCTCGTTAGATCGAACAGGCGTCTACGGCGCGTCGAAAGACGTAATGGGTAGCCATTTGTCATTTTTTTTTTTCTTTCTATTTCTCTCAGACGAATCTCGCGGTCGTTGCTCTACGCGTGCTCCCGGGGAATACCCGTTTTGTTTCGACGCTGTCGACGGTGCGCCTTGAATTTTAAAAATTTACCAATACTTCTTTTTTCGCTCGCCACGTTTGGGTGACAGGCGCCCCAACTTACAACTAGAACGAAATACGTTAAGAGATTCGGCGAGATTGGCCAAAACGTATATTTACACACACAAAAACGAATAAAAGTGCTCGCTAATTCTTACACGCGGAGATTACGTTCGAAATGCGTTAAAAAATTATGACCTCGACGTACAGTGCCCGAAAACTTTAACAGGATAAGAGCCAGTGTAAAACTTATACTCGTTCCAAGAAAAGAAAAAATAAAAAAAAAATAAAAATAAAGATAATGACGCAATCCGTCAAAAATTTATTATTAAAACAATATTTATCATTAGAACCCGTATTATCATTTCGTATATATGATTTTACGCATGCGGCTTCATCCTCATATACTTTTTTTTTTCTCGGCATTACCTCAAGAGATATATAACATATGTACGTACATGTCTATATATATATATATATATACATACATAGATATATAAATATAAATTACTTTTCCTTACATTAAAAAAATTTTTTGGATCGCACGGTAGAGAGTGTACATATATATATATATATATATATATATTTTTTTTAAATCCAACCTCATTGTTTTACATACTGATTACGCGCAATGATGAACTTTAATTCCCATTTAATCGTCCGGTTCGTTTAAAATATCGTCTGCATGTTACTTCGATTAGCCTCAAACTGATCACCTGAGAAAAGGGTCATACAAGTGAACCCGTTATTTTCACGTGTCGCGCCCAACTCGCATTACTTCACAATTCTTGAACACCCTATAGAACGAATCAAACTTTCAACCATATCGCCCTGATATGACCGAAAAAAAAAAAAAAAAAAATTCATCTGTCAGACGATCACTGATTAACATTGGCTTTGTCGATCGAGCGTATATTGAGTGATAAGGTGGGATTGCCAGTTCACGTAAGTTATGCGATTTTTGATCGTACAAAAGTAACGAAGAAATCGACAGAAGACTTTCTCTCGTTCATACTTTCGTCTTTCCAATGCAAGAGAAGAAATACGTAAAAAAAAAAAAGATAACGTCAAACGTCAAACGTTCCGAATGTAAACAAAGCCACGTGTCTGCTGTGATTAACTGTCACGTCAAGAAGAAAGACCGGACCCAAAGGAGAAAGAAAGAGCATGACAGTGTTACAAAAAGAAAAGAGAGAAAAAAAATTGCTCGTGCCTCGTCAATGATAAATTCGGAAAAAAAGAAAGATGATGCGGGTAAAAAAAAAAAAAAGACGTTCGATACATATATACACGTGTGGCCAGTATGTCCGGGCGGCGGGCGCACAGGGAAATATCAAAGAGATCCGACAGCAAAGCTCGACAGCTTATTTCACGATCTCATACCAAGTGTGCATGCAAAGTATCAAGAAACGAAAAAAAGAAAGTACGAAAGATTTACAAAAACATTTTTTTTCAACAGATCCACTTCTCTCTTTTTTCTTCTCTTCGTCACCACCTCATTTCGTACACGTACAATAGTTTGATATTCCCATGCGCACCGATTGGCATTTATCAGTCGCAGCTGGCACGATTAAGACAGCGCTGCTTATGACTTATAAACCTAAATAGATCTGTATGGCCTCGTTACCGTTCAACGTTAATGATTCACGATACGCTAATAATTAAAAACGCATCCAAGTTTTTCAATGCCAACATTTTGGTTCCATAATCCCACTTAGTAACGTGATTATTATTTTTTCTTATCTATTTTTTTTTTTAATCTTTTTTTCCATTTAATAATACATTCAATTTCACTCTCGCTTCCATATCGAGCTTGCTTTAATATTGGGCGCCTGCAACATACCCGATCCCTTAATTCATTTATCATTTACATATACGGTCCTTCTGTTACCTTCGTCGAGCTGATCTTTTTTTCTTTCTTTTTTTTTTTTCCCCACGTCTTTCTACATTAACTTTTTCACATACTTCGCGCACACACGCACTCTCTCTCTCTCTCTCTCTCTCTCTCTCTCTCTCTCGCGCGCTTCTCTTATTTCGGTATTTATTAAATTGCAAGACGCACGTAAGACCCAAACGCGCGCTTCGCGTCCAGACGGACGATCGCGCAGACGCGACATCAAAATTGCAGTTTAAATTCTTACCAAAGGGAAAAAATGGTATCCTAACAATTAGCTAATTTTCATGAAGTCAGACACTAGGTTTTTTTAAATGTAATATATATATATATATATGTTTGTGAGTGTGTTCTGTGTATAGTTACCATTAGAGTTATCAGTGGTACAAGGTTTGCCCTTTCCAAGCTTTCTTACTTAGTTTTACAACTAGAATAAATATTTATGATAAGGTCCTTCTTTTTTCATCTTTTTTTTTTTTATACTTTCCGTGATAATATTTAACAGTATGTCGTTCGTTAAGCCTACAGAGCATTGCAATCCTTAATACACAGCGATACAGTGAACAGGCAGCCTTCCCACGTGTTTTTGGTTTATTAAAATATTTTTGTATATATATATATAAATTGCAGCATCTCCCGCTATGCACTTTTGTATGCAATTTCGAAAGGGATGATTTACATAGAAAAAAAAAAAAAAAAAATTACATGCGCGAGATACAAAAAAATTCTCAATATCTTTGCCCGTGATCGAGGAGACGCGACGTACAATTCGTACAGCACGGCTCTCTTTGCACTTTTTAATACTGAACCGAGACGACGAGAATATGAAGAAATTAAATAAAATCTATATTACGATCGAGACTTCGTTGCGCATATCGCGTGTATCAAAGATTCCAATAGAATACGTAATAAAAATGGATTTCGTACGCGCGACGTCCGATGAACCTTTATGTGTTTATGTCATTAGCCTACGCACTTCGCTTTATTCTATTTGTCACCGCGCTGCGCCTTATTAACGATTATTGTGTCGATTATTGTACCAAAGTATCGTGTGTAATTGGATCCGGCGGATTTCGCCGAAGCTGCGCGCGCAGGCGCGCGCGCGATTCAAGAAACTAAGTGCCAAGTGACGAAACGACAAAGGGAAAGAAAGAAGACGCATGGGGATTTCGGCGTGTCGTCGTGTTTTCGGCCACGTTAATAAAGACGACGGGACTCCCTTCTTTTTTTTTCTTTTTTTCTTTTCAACGTCAATCCTCAAACGAGTCTCATCCAAAGACGTACGCTTAAACCTTATACCTAAGAAACTTGCATTATTATTAAATTATTTATTTAATTTTTTTTTCTTCCTTTTTTTCCTTCATCCTCTCCTCATCCATCTGGAGCAAAAAGAAATTACTGTAACTACTCGTTAATTACTATCTTCATCGGTCGATTGAACTTCCACATGGGATTCTCTTATTACTTCAATCGTACCTACGTGAGCTCCTTATATCCGAATCGTTTGATGCATTGCATTTGCTTTGGGAGCGATAATAGTCGGCCCAGATCTAATGTCCACGTTAAATAAAACTATTACGAAGGAGAAATTACGGTTGCTCGTACCGAGCGAGAACGATGCTCCGTCGCTGACAGTTCAACTGGGACTGACGATGAGTGACGCTCCGCGACGTTGCCAGCGCGTTCATTGGCTTGCGAAGAAACGAAGGAGATAAACGGAACAAGGTAAAGAAGTACGTAAGTCAAACGGACGATTGGAATTTAAATTAATCGTTCGATTCCACCAGTCGGAGCATCGTTATCGAATCAGGCAGTGTCGATATTTATATTCTTTGACGTAACCGTATATGGGAGTCGCATAGCGTGACACATGGTTTACGAAAAATTAATTTCACTTGACATCCGCGTCAAAAGCATCTTCGCGTCGCATCTAGCCACGTCACTCACTTCTCTAGCCAATGTTATTCGCCGTACGACCTTAAGGGCTATACACAGTCGGAGGACGCTTGAAAATTAACACCGAGTTGAGTTTCACGAGATTCGGCTTTACAGTTCGGATTCCAGACGGTAGAACGATCAGCCTGGTACGCCTATATGATTATCCAGCACGAAACTTGAGCGCCCGTTGACGAGCTGCGTCACGTGGGTTACGCATGCGCAGACACGAGACACTGCGGGAACACGTAAGAAACGTGGGTCACGCGTTAAGAAAGTTTCACAAGATTCACATCCACGCACTGGTGACGCACAGACTGTCGATGTTCAACATGATTCTTCCCCACGTTGACATCAGACTGTCATCTTGAATGATTTATGCATACTTCGACCGGGCAGTACGAATAATGGCGTTATTTGATTTTATAACCCAAAAAAAGCAGTATCCCTACGCTTCGTCCTATTCGATATCTGCCGCTTAATGGCTACGCAGGGCGATTGACATTAGATTTAGACTGACGACGCATGATGCCGTACAAAAGATGGCACGGCGTGTCTTAAGATTCTAATAGGCATAACCGAGCGAGGGTTTATACCGTGTGGTTAGTTTCTTTTTTTTTTTTTTTTTTTTTTTTTTTTTTTTTTTTTTTTTTTTTTTTTTTTTTTTTTTTTTTTCTTTTTTTTTCCTTCCTCATCCCTTTAAGCATTTCTAATGTTTCCCATATTCACGTCATACCCTATAACGTCCTGGTCGCTTTAACGACGTTGTCGATCCTAACGGATTCGCAATGTGATTTTCATTAATTCATTCTCATTGTCTCTTGGATATTCGCCTTATTACTTTTGGCCTAATATACAAGTTCCTAATGTTACTTTGGCCCTTGGCTTGGGAACGGGAAAGGGGGGGGATTTGAGAAATAGGGGAGGTAAGGGTTCCGGTGGGGAGTTTGACAGGAGAGAAACGGGGACAAGGGGAAGTGGGAATTATTGGCAATTAGCATTTAAAATTCTTCACGTTAATTATAAAGTTAATTGTGGTTCTGTCCTTCATTAACGACGCTTAAACCTTGTGGCGGCCAATTTTTCACTTCCTCTCTAATATGTCCCTTCTTCTCTCTTAAACCGTGCGACTTTTCGTCGCGCGTTTCTTTAAACACGTTTTTGCTTTTTTTTTTTTTAATTTTATTCACTAAAAACAGACCTTAGTGTTTTGGTATGTATGCATGATTGGATGTGTAATTCTTTCTAATATGTATACGAGTATACCTCTGGCAAGACATCACGCAGTGTATATGACCGTGCGATTCGTGCGATGCAATAGACGATAAACCTATGCATAATGAGGCGGACAAAGAGGAGTCACGAGCGTCAAAAATTTACGCGCGAGACCAAATTTCTATTGTCTGACCGGCTACGATGCCTTTTTATATCATACAATTGTCTTGGAGGTGTATAAACCCCCGAAGATCCAAAAAAAAAGACAAAAAAAGTAAAGTAAGCGTAATTCGCGTCTGCAGCCAAATAATTCACATAAAATTGTACCATCAACTCGATACCTTATGCAGCTGCTAAACGCCCTTATACTAGTCTAAAATTCATGATTAACTGAAAGCACCTTTCGTTAAAACATACTTATTCCCTCGACCTACGGCTCTACTTGGTTTGGCTATGGCTCTGGGGGAAAAAAAAAAGAAAAAAAAAAGTAGCATGCAGGGCAAACGCTCCAAGGAGATCCTAATCACACGGATCGTCGACGCGTCGTCGTTATTGGAAACGCGAGCGATCCTCGTCGTGGAAGTTAACATAAAGCGATGTGTGCGAGTAACTAGCAGAGAGAATAAAGAAAAAATTGGCCACCCAAGAAGATTGTCCGACATGTCACTTTTAAGTAGCCTATGAATTCATTTCTCTTCTGCGTTATTATTCTTCATCCTCTTCCGTATCTGCCCTCCTTAGCTCTCGTATTAACTCCAAGATATGACAATCGCATGAAGATGAACGTGTAAGATGCCGCGGGATTTTGCCTCGGTGTTATGAAAGACGCAAGAAGTTAATGATGGCTCCTTACGCAAAATACATAACTCTCTTTGTGTCTGCATGCACTGTGATGGCTCGCGCCATTGCACCGGGTGTTCTGTCTTCGCTACAGCCCGATTGGTGAGAACCCTCGCCACTGTAAGAGATAAAGAAAACACCCTCGTAACCGGGTCCCAATGCAACTGACAGATAGAGGCATGCAGCTTAGGAGAATATTAATTGTTCCATCGGAAACTCACCTGTCGTGCTCCTTCTCCACCAGATGATACCTGGCACGGAATGCTACCAAGTGCGCGTAGTACGCAGGTGCTGGTATACTGACAGACCTCGTACACCTGACGTACGTGTGACACAACTGATAAGTGAGACACTGCAGCTCATCGCTTTCAAAGTGATTGTCATCCCAGAGAACATGATAGTGCGAGGGTCTCGAGGTTCCCTGTACAGGAAATAATGAAGTAGACGATTTACTTTAGGCTATTGATATTTTACATTTTAAAATTAGTATGCCAATCGCCATTGTTACTTTCACGTACCTGAATTCCTTGATGACTGCACAGATAAAAGTCAAATTCAGTGGGATGCGTGATGCAAACGTCAACAGTGGTACCGGCGGGAATGTTTCCACTCTTGCCGCTCTGTTCCTTTTTGTCCGCGCAGAACAATCTAGTGTGATGTCTCTTTTGAACTACTATGAACGTTATGCCAGGTCGGTAATCTGCCTCGAGCTTGATGCAAGCTTCGCGAATGGCCGTCAGCTCGTGCTGAAGTACATGGAGAAATTGTCCCTCGGAGACGCCGTCGCGATATAGAATTATTCTGTGCGGTTTGTAACCACCTGTACTCTTATAGAACATAATTAGCAGCTCTCTGGAAAAGAGTCATAATATTCGTAAGAAGACATTTAAAGTGTTATCAAAGTATTTTTGAAGTTATAACGTCCCTATAATTTCTTACCTCACCATGGAGCTTAGCTCCTGTATGATTTCTTGTCTATGCTGCTGCACCCTGACCGTAGCTGCATATCGCGAGGGATGAGCGTCCATACTGCCTACCACAGCAGCTATGCTTGGCTTCTTGTTATCTCCGGCTGGAGGATGCGTCACATCGGCACCCAGGAATATAACGGGCTCGTTAAAGACTTTCGGCCTTATACTAGGCACCAGGATACTGTTTATACCGCCCAACTTCACGTTTATCTTCAGGCACAAATTCGACAGAGTCTGCGGCGACGTTTTGTTCACGTTCTTCGCTTGAACGCATTGTGTCGCCATGCCCAACAGAGTATCGCCTACTCTCTTGACCTCGGCTGTGAATCCGAATAAGGTCATTCGAATTTATATTCTCCCAGTTATATCGGAGTCTAAAAGTACAATTACTCACCGTAGACCGGAGTCTTTCCAGGCAGGACGACGCACACTAGCTGCAGGGCCTGGAATGTCGATTTAAGGTACCGGAACATGGGCTCGACCTGATCGGGCCCGGTTGCGTATTTACAGAAGCATGGCTGCCCTATAATTGGCATACCAGCGTCATTACTGATCTTTTGTAGCTGCGTCGTAAACATCCTAAGGGAATCCTCGCGGACCGTCCTCTGGGGTGCGAAACAGGCAATAGCCCATACTCTTATCTCGACTCCGGTGAAGAATTGCTTGCCACGCATATCCCAGACGCCCTGGTTCGGCAGTGCCTGTTGCTTTGTCTTGAGAAAGAGAATAATAGACACTTTTAGAAATAGTAATTGACATTTCCAGTTAATTATTATAGTCTTAAATATAATGATAAATAGTCTTAAATATAAACGAGATTATTCGTGTATGAAAGCATCATTCACAGAAGGTCGAAATATTTAGAAACTACTAAATTCTTATTTTGTACCATGCATCAGAATCTGATCTCGTTTGCTTCTCGAAAAATGGATATCGGGCTGCAAATCTAACGCATAGGTTACATTTGTATCTGAGAAATTCGTCTCGATTAACTACTTGCAACGTTAACGTGAACAGAGTGAAAAACGTTTCACGAAGGCAATAATTAACGAGGAAAAAAAAACTTGTCACACCAACACAGCCCAGATATCAGAATCAACCAGGTCTAGAACCCATGCATCAATTCGATTATCTTTCACCTTGTTTTGTGCTACAAGACATTTTTCAATTACAATGTGTTAAGCTACGATAACAAACCCTTTTATTATCGATGTATAAACCATAATCAAAACAACTAAAAGACTTTATATTCTAAATGTCGTATTTTACTAGACCTGACTGACCAAGCTGGAAGTTTCTCACCTGTCCACTGAGGGAACTTACGCGCCCGCCATATTGCAGTTTTGGCGGAGGTAAGACGCGACCCCGGACCTCCATCATGTTGTTCGAAATGGTAAGACCGAATTCCTGAACATAGGAATCGTTATTGAAATCGGCTCGCCTCACGAGATTGTTGATCTCGCGCTCCCGATCCGGAGCGGAACGCGCTGTCGCTTTGATCATCGTTGAGGTCTGCATGTCCGTTAGCTTTTTTATGCAACGTTGCCCGGCTACGATGTTGCAAACCTGAGAGACATAAACGTTCATAAACCAATTCGCAGATTTATCTTTATTCTATGAACGCATAAATATTCTCATAGCACAGACCTCGAGCGGTAGATACGTGTGCTTGTGCTCCTGTCCGACTTGAAGGCACGGAAGATGTGGATAACGCAGTTTCATTTTATATTTATCTAAGAAATATTTGGCGACTGTGCATTCGACCGTTTGTCCATTTTCCAATTGCAAGGGGAATCTGTAACGAGATTAATTCACGTAACGCCACAAGCTCAATGTTATATTCATTTTTAAGAAACAGCATCCAATTCACTGAGATACTTACGATTGCATCTGGGCAGGTTTGCGGGTAACGTTGCAAACTCTGTACTTTCGTCTCATGGTACCGCAATGGGTAATTTCAATCTTGAGTCCCTTGATCTCTTTGGTAAACTTGACCCTCTGTGAGTCCGTCAGCGGTTTTCTTTGTTCGTTAATATCTCGAATGTCGAGTACCTCGCACATGAACTCTATAACTGGTTGGGCCTTGTAGAACGCAGTTGCGGAGACTGAAATATCAAAGTATAAGGATCAGCACTGAGTCGTCATCGTGCATCTTAAGGAGATTGCACGTGAGCCATTCCCAAAATAGAACTCACCGTCAATATTGAGCATCATTTTCCACTGTGACGGTCTCACGGACTGATGGAAACCAAACCAGACTTCCCTTCCACCACCCAGCGGGTGATAATATCCATCCGGGCTGCTGAAGAAGGACCTACCAACCGGAGTATAAGTCATAGAAGGTAAATGCCTCATTACAACGTCTAACGCGAGTATGGCGTCGTAAGGAATTTGTCTGGTGCGTCCTTCAAGAGCTTCTTCCAAAGCAAACAACGATACCTGGGCTACCCATTTGATCACCACTCGGAAAACTCGGTCCTTTCCCTCCCCAGGTAATGTGACCTGATCAGATGGAAATGAGAGAGATTAAGCAAGCTAACATAATGAGAGTTTGAAATATTAATTAGAAAAAGAGGAAGGCTTACCTCTAATTCTATTCTGTCATTGCCGATTGGCAAAGGGTCCCTGGTGTATAGATTATTTCTACCGTCAAATACAGGCTTGAGAGTTCCAAATATCTTGCTGTAGGCGTGCACCATTGTTTCTATAATTTCTCTGTTCACTTTTCGTGGACACTTGTCAGGCTGTATATTGATATCATAATGGTGCACGTAACCGCGAGGCATTGTAATTTGGAAATGATTGGCTCTCAAGCCAATCGGCCGACCCTCGCGGCCTATGTTCGGCCTCCGAGGACAGGCGAACACTGTAAAAATAAAAATTTTCTAATATTCGTGTAACACGAAAAACTTATGCCAATAATATTGGAAGAGAACAACAAAGGAGAGATTGTTTGTAGTACGATATGAGTTAACAATAAACAAGGTTATAACTAGATGTACAAATGTAAGTGCATCTCTGTTTTTTCTTTCGAAAAGATACAGTAGAAATTAAATATCTAATCTTAACGCGGCTTGACTTAGTATATGCAAATTATTAAATATTTAATTCATTTCTTTTATGTAATGATTGATTGCATTTATTTATATAAATTTTAAATATTGACAAATATTATATAATTTCCAATGCAGCTAGTAACTTCACTGTACTTACTTGGCAGGTCCGGGGGCTGAGGAGGCGTGTGTGTTTGTTGTGTGGGTACGAGACCCAAAGAGCTGGGGGCTACAACGCTGCTCCCTGTTGTGCCAGCAGCTCCCACGGCAGTACTCGTCGTGGGTCCTGGTGGAGGAGCTATTAAAGAAGAAAATAAAAATACAATAATAAGTATCCAACATATAACATATTCATACTCGTCTTCATTTATCTATTTATTTTCCATGTTTTCTATAAAGAGATATCATACTTTATTCTCGTCAGTGTATCCATATTCCATCCAATCAGACCTGGGAGCATACACATATTCTTGCATATTCTCTATATAAATAACTGAACTCTTTGTCATAATTATTCAGCTGTAAAATTAAAGGTAATGTTCGACAAAATAATTGAGATACAAATACATGAGATAAGCTGTTAAAGGAATAAACTATGCACTTTTGAAAAGTGTACAAGAAATTCAATTTACAATTTAGTAAACATCGTACTCATACTCTTCAGGCATCTGTCAGATTTTCCTATTAGTCATAATAACGAAGAGATCTAATCCACGCTCGGACAGCAATTAAATGTAAATATTTAGAACATAAACAGACTGATACATGTTGTCAAGTTTCAAAATCTTTCCAATATAAAGCATATGACACTATATAATGCTACTGTATCATGTTAAATAGATTGAAGAGTGTAAATAGCTGTTATGGAGGAGCAAATAGTAAGATTGAAATTTTTATAGGTAAATTATCGATTCCAGAGTGTCGGACGCAAGCAGATCGGATATACGAAAGAAATGCTATATGCCAGAAAATTGTAGCACTCTTATCGGTACGAACTCACGAAGAAAGGGCTCGTAACCTAATTAAAAGTGAGCCATTGGTAGTGGATCAGGAGTGTTTCCCTATAGGCTCATAGTATGACGGATCAGCGACAAGTGACGACACATTACGCCTGTTGAACGGGGTTCATTCGGGGTCACTCCGAAATTTTCCGATACCGTGGAAACCCAAATTTAAGGAAACACGCTTCCACCAAATCTTCTGAAAATTTGTACGATATTTCCATAATGTTCAAGGCTATGAGCGTGGAACAAAGAACCTGAAAACAGTGGAGCGACAAGGTTCTAGGCTCGCCTAGGCTAACGACGGGTTGGATCCATTTTTTTCTCACCCCACGCGCCCTTACATATAAAAACAATCTGGCGGGATACTCACGCTGCCCTACGGGATACATTTTCGCGGCCGAAGATGGAAAATCACGGATTACCACTAATAAATAAGTAAAAAATTTAACACAAAACCCACTGGCCACACAACACACTTCCCCACAACACACACTGCCTGCGAACTGCCTTCCGCAATGGCTGCCACCACCCCGACGCTCATTGGTTCACAGACAGCCAATAGGTGCGCCACTAAGCAGTGTCGGGAAAATCTGGCGCCCTGTCGTTCGCAAGCTGATAGTAGTTTATTTTGAAAAATCGATTGTTCGAATTAACTAAAACCTTTTTGCCGCGCTTCTATTCCATTCGTATAAGATACTTGAAAACCTTTTTCTTTACTCTCTAAACAAGCGATGCATACGTTCTTCTCAAAGTTTTCCATCGTATCAATTGAAACGAAGCAAAATGAAATCGCTGGTATATATAGAGCCAAGATATATTGGAGCATTACTCTGTGCATAGATGTTTTGTAATCGATTTTGACTCTAGAACTCGCTGAGATTAGTAATAGTTAGCACTACTGTTATAGTGAATTAGAATGCAAAACGGAACATTATTGTTCCCAACCATTGTACTTTAAGGCGCAATGGTTGTTACAACTGAATGTTGGCAGCACTGCGCTGTGAAGTGAGCGCCTCTACCAGCGATCTATCCTTACATTCTTTCCCGTGGTCTCGTGCATCTTGTACTAAATATGTCGATTCCAGCGAGTGGATCGTTTACCCGCTCGGCAGGTCTAATAAGTGCAATTGGCAAACAGCTCAAGACTATTAATTTGAAGCCGCTTAAAAAGATCACCGTCCAATTCGATCCATTTTATAACAATATCAAGGATACGAGGTTAGTTCAACATGAACGCGAGACAGTCTAGTGAGGTGCAGGTCTCACAATAAGATAAAGCCTTTCTCACGCGGACAAAAATATTACCAGTGTCATATTCATATTAAGTTCAAAGAAAAATAGCTGTCAAACGTCACGGAGTAATGAAAATTTGAAATCTTTTACGTAGTCATTTAATCAACGTATCACATGTTTGCATGTGTTTCCTGTATAATACGACTAAAAGACTCAGTAATGTCTCGCTGCAAATCTTTAAAATCAATAATGAACGAAGTCTGTATTACTGAATTAACATCGACATTATAATGATTAATTGTTCGTATTTTCAGGCCTGCATTTGACTAGACTTCGTGACGTCAATAACTCGCGCATGCGCTTTCACATAAAATTTGCAGTAGACTAGCAGACGACACGTAGTGCGTTATTTTTGGCTAATATTTTTCTTATACCGATTGTACCGAGTTCGGAACGCGACCAGGCTACGATACCGATAAGAAAAGAATGTTAAAATATTTCATATAATATCATTCAGGTATTTCTAGTATCTTTAATACAACATTGAACCCTCCACCTTTTACATATACCTTCTCCATGAGCATGCAGTGTCAAATGAAAGCTATATATAATACATACTAATTGTAAGCCTTAAAATATTCTCCTATTGTTTTTAATTAAACGTTGCATATCCTATACACTAGTCTGTCTATTGTTATCGTACTTTGTCGTTAATCAACATTCCTCTTAATTTACCTTACAACTTTTAACCACTTAACCTGACATTTAATCAGCGACTGCGCCGGCTCAAACTGTTTTATGTTGTAAAAATCATCAAGTCCCATACATCTCCCAAACGTCCAAAACAACATTTGCCCAGATAGCTGAATATCCCGCAGACGTGACTCGCGGTTAAATGATTAATTAAATTCATGACTGTATATAATCACCACGTCCATACGTTATTTAAAAACTTATCGCACTGATGTTGTGTTTACCCTAACCGCTATCGCAATTATTGAACCGCAAAGAAATCAAGAACAGCAGCTTGCAAGAGTTATAAAATAAGTCAGAATGTCAATTAATAAGGAATCATAATTAATAATTCATATCAACTCACCACTGCATTGTCCACAGCCATAAGCTTTACCAAGCATGGAAACTGCTGTAGTGATACGTAAAGTGCTTAAATCCGGCATTGGGATGGGTAGCTGCTGTTCCAATTGCGCCATGGTTGCTGAAATAAATAAACAGAAATTAATAACTTATCTTTGAATAAAGCGCAACGTAATCAGTGGCTCTCAATCGATTGCGATAAGCCTCGTCTTCCTGTCACGGACAATTAATTTACAAGAACCAACTATCCTCTTATTATGCTTGTGCCCTCACCTTAGCTCGTTTTTGCCAACGCTTTATCAACCTTCACAAAACTATCAGGCACTTCGTAAAAGCGTGGTCATAGTCCGCGTATGGTCTGAACTACATTGCGATTCTTATCCCATCCATTTTAGTCCATTGTCATACCCACGTCACTAGTAAAATGTCAGATACTAGACTTTATACAGAATTCCTATCTTACTTTCAGACAATTTCTCTTCTATTTGTCGACCCCAAAAATCTTGGGTACTAACTTATACTGTGCCCTGAAGACGAACATCGTATGCGACCGTTCTGAACCCACCATCACGTTCGATCTCGGTGAGTTTATCAGCAGACATCTATCTATCCCCTTATCTATCCTTTGAACTTATCTTACCTCTAACTATACATTCGTTTGAGGTTACCAACAACGTAATGAAACAGCAGCAGAGTAACTGCATTAAAGTGACATTAGTTAACAATCTAAAAAAGATAAATAGTGTTGAATGACAAGATAAATAAAAGTTTTCTTTGCCTTTCAGTATCCGGTGACAAGATAGTCATAAAATCTGCAAACCTGAGTACCCTGGAGCTGTTACAGCAGTACAACAAGCACATAACTCCGTTGGTACCCAAGGAAGAGGAAGCGAAGGAAAAAGTGGCACAGCTAACTGGAAAAGGCAAGAAAGGAGCGAAGCGATAATCATAAGGAAAAATAAATTCAAGAAGGAAAAGGTTCAGTCAACTCGGATTAGTTCTTAAGAAATTCAGAACAAAGTCTGAGCGACCAGTGACCGAGCTGTGCGATATTAGAGATTCGTAAGATAGATGAATATTGTGATAGATTACGAAGGCTTGTAGCGTGTAACAAAGTCAAGGAAGACCGGAAGTATCGATCGCGACGTTCTTTTTTATTATAGACAGAGAAGAAGGAAAACTCGAGTCCCTTTTTCATTTTATATTTTATTTCCATTGTCGCAGAGACGAACAAGTGCGCGACGTTCCGTCAAATCGATCGTAACGCATCAAACGACCTACATTGTCAATTCATATGAGAACTAGTACAATATACATTACGCAATTTCCGCGGCTTCCATTTACTAAAGGAAGATCCTACTTAGAGGAATCGAATTCTTGGGCATTGCTATAATATTGAAGAAAAAGTTTTTTAAAGAGTTACCTGAAAGTACCTATATACGCATGAGCTTCGGTCGAGAGATATTTTATTAGCGTACCCATCCAAGGGGAGATAAAAGAATCATCTTCGACAAAGTAATCCAGTTGATGGAATAGAAAGAGGAAAATATAACCAAGTGAATTTCCGACTATCCGAATATTTTCTTTTGGCATATTTTTTACTTTGCTAAAAGGGCCAACTGGTTAAGACGATAAGATGGCGCACTCTGCGGGAACCAATAAGGACTACAATATGAAACTAATTGACACTCTGTACAGTCAGGTGCCTGCGTTTACCGACGTCTTCGACGAGGAAACCTGGTATATATTCGTCGTCTGCTTTGTGGCCGGGACTTTCGTGGTCGCCTTCATCCTGTCGAGATTTATAACTCTTAAACCGGTCGAGTGAAACCACTTCGCGGTGTTTCTCCTCCCTCGTTTTCATCTCGACTCTCGTATAATTTCACGTTGTTAACCATTGTTAATAGAATTCTTCGTCAGAATTTTAAGCGCTTGCACGTCACTCGTTTTTTTTTTCACAATGGTATATTTTCGTCGCGAATAAATTTATCCAATGAGTTTCTCGTGTCAGTAGTAATCAATGATCCATGAAATTTCTACTTGCTTATCCTTATCCATGACTGACGTTACCGAATTCATTTTGAACTATGGATAAGAACCGTATCACGCTGTGAACTGAAATCACCAGAAATATGAGCATTAAGGCTTATTTCAATTTTCGTTGATTCTATACTTAGATCCTCACTGTGTGATGTAAATTGAATAAATTTAGAAACAACAAATTTTTACCATCTAGTTTCATCGCTTGTCTGTACTATTGTTTCTGTCGATGTTAACCAAGATCGAGGAGGCTTCGTACTCTTTCGCAATATTTTTTAATATGGATTCCGTGTTCCAAGAAGCATCAAGATTTGTTTTTATAGCATGAAAAATATCCCCCTTTTTTTTATTAATTGAATTCCAGAAACGTGTATTTAACTGTCACGCACCTCTTGATGTTATATACATATTTCAATGCCAATATTCTGCGTTCATACACGTAGTTAATAAATTTCCTTCTAAACCCATGAGATAATACAGTTTTCCTCGCGAAGATGTCAAAGTCCCTCTTCTCTATGGAATAAATATGTATCAAATATACATACAATTTGTCTCATTTCTACCAATCTACTTGCATTTCCACATGACCCTTCGTATTACTCCATACAATCCTTAGAGTATAATGTAACAAAAAATATATATAGGTATATACCAATTCACGTAACACCAACAACCCAGAATATTTACGAAACAGTTACAGCATGTATTAACTATTATGGCAATGAGTCAAAAATAAGTCTGAACTATGTAATGAAACAATCCACAATGACAAATCTACTAGACTCCATAGCATTCAATTTCCAATACTTCACTCTGTACTGTCCCTCCATAATTACAAGTCCTAGTAATCGCATTAGTCAAGATTCTATTTGGATAAGTCTTAAACGGTACCGAGTAAACTGTTAATGGGATAAGTTGAGAAAAAGCAGGAGAAATAACGGTAGAAATTCTACAAGAAGTTCCAGTATTAACTGTAATAAAAATATGAGATTGATTATTGAATAGAAAAGTTGTACAGGAACAAGTGCTCCTTAGCATCATAGCTATTTTAAACACCATTAACGCAGTTCGATTGTCGCCCTTAACACTAGGTTTACGGGACCCGTCAATTTGCCGGAATTCAAACTTTGCAATGAAATATCTCGAAAACCGCTTGATCGATTTCAACCGTTTTGCATCGTAAATTAATCATTTCTTCTAAAGAATTTATACACAGTTTTTTTTTCCCTAAGTCTTTTACTTTTTGAGATTCATACATGGTATACCTACCTCTACGGGACCCGTCAATTTGACGGAATTCAAACTTTGCAATGAAATATCTCGAAAACCGCTTGATCGATTTCAACCGTTTTGCATCGTAAATTAATCATTTCTTCTAAAGAATTTATACACAGTTTTTTTTTCCCTAAGTCTTTTACTTTTTGAGATTCATACATGGTATACCTACCTCTACGGGACCCGTCCAATTGACGGGTACGCTTATCTCGAAAATAATCCTTATATTTTTGCTTCGTTCGCCACATTATTCATCCAGTAGGAAATACAAGAGTAAAAGCAATGTCTTTATGATCTACGTTTCCATTTCGTTATCTCAATCCCGTCTCGATAGTGTAAACTAAAGCGGATCGTATGACCTGAGTGTTTATGTGGGTCTGCTACGCAACTTTTATTTCCTATCGCCAAAAAGAGCTCAAGAGCAAGAGGAGGAAAAAGGAAATTTATAAGTAACAGTCAGGCTTGTTATAAGCCACATGAAAACGTCTCAGTAGATGAACAGTTATTTCCGACGAAAGCTCGATGCAGGTTTACGCAATATATGCCGCATAAGCCTGATAAATTCGGCATCAAGTTTTGGTTGGCAGTTGACGTGGAATCAAAATATATTGTGAACGGTTTCCCTTATTTGGGGAAAGATGAAGCCCGAAGCTCACAATCTTTGGGTGAGTTTGTCACATTGGCAATAGCCAAACTATATTTAGAACGAGGCAGAAATATAACAGATAATTTCATTACAAGCATCCCGCTAGCACAAAAATTGCTTGCGCGAAAAACAACGTTGGTTGGGACCATCCGGTCAAACAAACGAGAACTGCCAAAACCCGTAAAAGAAAAAAAAGATAAGATGACTTTGCTTTCCTCAGATTTATATAAATCAGAAAATGTCATCCTTACTGTATATAAAAGTAAGCCGAACATAAAAGTCCTCCTTCTAAGCACCAGACATACAGGTGTACAAATAGAAGACAACCACAAACGTCTTCCAGCAACTATATCATATTATAATAAAACGAAGTTCGGAATGGACGTCGTTGACGAGATGGCACGAAAATATAGCGTAAAAGCAGGCAATTTTCGATGGGCTCTTCACGTCTTTTTCAATATATTTTAAAGGACTTTTTATTTCTTGATACTTTATTTAAACGTGAAGCCAAATATTGTGGAATTTTGAGTTAACTTGAATAAATCTGTTTTTTAAAGAAAGTGCGTATTTTCATTCACCCGTCGATTTGACGGGTGCCGTAGATATAGGTATATAAAAAACGTCCGTAAACCTAGTGTTAAACAGCCAGTGGAACTCCATCTTGCAAAATGTACGCGCCAAGCAGCAAGAGTCTCAAGCCACCGTTTAATTCCTCCAGATAATTACGTTCTTCCCCGCTCATTTGCGATAACACTCACAATACTGTAGCTATCTGAGAATGCAGTGTCTTTTTATTTTTCCTTCTGCAACTTCTCATACTGCAATTGCGTGAGACAGCTTGACTTTAGTATCTTCAATACTGCAAGAGAACCGTTTGACCGATTATACTGGGATACAGTCAGTACGCGTTACGATGCGCCTTAGGTAAAGGTTCACCACTGTATACCGACTGTCTACAGTAAAGGTGAGTTGACTGTACCTTAGTTAATTGAAGCAGCTAGCAAGAACAACAAAAGGTAACTGCTCGAATGGTGCACAGGAAGAACGACAAAGACGCAAAGATCTTGCGAATGGGATTGCTCTGGTTGAATGTAATGGCTTCTAAATCTGAACAAAGGATACGAGTATTAGAATATTGAGTATATATAAAATACGTTATTGAAATTTAATTTGTTAGCAGTATGGTGGAATTTATATTGTACCGTAGTAACTGATTGACTTTTTTTGTAATGGTAATTTATAATTTGCAGACCTCATTCAAATATTTGGTCAGCCATGTTGTTTCTGGAGAGACTGACCGAGTTACGATAAAAGAGGTTATGTCCGCTAATATCGCTGGTCGGTATAGTTCGGACAAGCGTTTAAGAATGACCGTGGTTAATCCGCGTGTCTCTTGCGGGGGAAAACTTTGTCCCGAAATAAAGTCAGGGACAAGAAACGGTTGTGTTTTCAGCCGGCACGAAAATCGGCGTCGTGACGACCGTCTCCTGTTCCCGATGTGAGACATTCCAGGCTGCACTGTATGCACATTCGCATTCGAATTGTGAGAGGGTACATAAAGGGCCGTGGAAGGAACAAAGAAAATAATAAGAAGAGGACCAAAAGAAAAAAAAGGGAAAAGTATTAAAAGAGTAAAAAGAAAACATAAAGGCGTTCGTCAGGGCGAGTCCGTGCGTGTCTTTTTCTTTGATTTGGTTTGTCTCGAGACTCGGAGAACGAGTGAAAATACGGAGGCCGTGGGTTGGCAACCTGGACAGGGAACCAGAATGAAAGAGAACAGCCAGAGAGACCAGCCTGGGTTGCTCACGCTTACTTGCTCCTTGAGTTCCTCGATGTCTCCTTTCTCTCTTTTTCTTATCGCCTCTCCATGGATTCTCAATGTCTCCGTGCTTCTTCTCTATCTCCCTCTCTCCCTCACTGTACTCTTTTCCTTTCAGAATTTACAAATACCTTTGTCCTCGTGAGCCAATGCTCTCTTTAAACTCTAGTACCCATCACGGCTCGAACTAAGGCTAGTATAATATATGAGGTTTTGATACCATATAAAAAGTACTCATGAAAAGAAGCAGAAAAATGCTATAATGGAATAATTCCAAAGTGTCAATCCATTTCTTTGTCCTCGTACCTGCATAGGTAATTCAGATCGACAATGACGCTTAATAAACACAATGCATTAAGAAAGATCTATAAGGAATGACGTGGAAACTTGCCTTAGCATCGTTTAAACTGATCTTCTTGAAAAGGATAAAATTATACGAAATGATTTGAAGGACGAAGGAATCACAGGAGTAGTCAGCACCATAGACTTCGGTAGGAATCCTGATTACTATGTATTATATATTACATATATACGTACTATATAAACAGGCAGAGTGCAAAGATCTTAAAGATATGCAGCAGTATATTCAGCGACACGTTCCTACGATCAACGAGACGTATGACGTGTGACGCAATGGCGATATTTAAGGAACAGGAACGCATGAAACGACGTTGTGAGGCGTTCGATGGCGACGACAGAGACGAGCAGTTCTACGCGAAATGAATGGATGGGCGCATCGGGCAGACAACAAACTCACCTTTTCTTGTGTTTACAGTACTCGGGGATCCTCGTTGAATTATTACATAAGAGCGAACAATTTATGCAGTCCTGCGCTCGCGACTTGGATGTCTATCTAGTTTTACGTAATAATTTTTCAGCTCACGAGCGGCGCTCCCTTCCTTCTCTTTTCTCCGCGGGCTCGACTATTTACTTTTCCTCAGGGCTACTCAAAACCACGACACGTAACAAGCACGTAACTGCATACTTTTCAGCATTCGTATGTCCAGCATCACTCTATATACTGTGTGACGTGTGGGTGAAGCGCGAATAAATCCTCTGTCGGGGAAACCGGAGACCATGAGGCACTTGCGGCCCGTGTCAACCGGCACGGCGCGGGCCACGAAACGCTTTTATACCGCACTAAGAGTTTACTCTTTCAAAACGTGTGTCCCTTCACCATCAGATGCTTCCTTGACTCTCTTTGCTGCGGTACCACGCACTGTGGGATCCGTGGGCATCCGGCTCTCTCTCTCTCTCTCTCTCTCTCTCTCTGACAGAAGGCGCGCCAAAATCACTGACAGTCAATTAAATCAACTTCTTCTTTGTCCTGAACAAAACACGTCGATACTTCCCGGCCCGAGGAAACCGGTACACGATGCGACTGATACTCTGTACGGATTTAAAACCATTAATAGAATACTATCACCATATTGTTAGGACGATTAATAAATGATTGTTATAACGCGCAGGGGTTATGTATGCGTTCTGGTAATAACGACGTACGCGTTCCATGAGTGACTGATGTCGACTGCGCTACAGTGTGCGAACGATGAAAACAACGGGCAAACTTTACGTGGGGCTTCGCTGCAACTAAATGCGACCGAAAGCTACTCGCTGATTCTACCACGTAGTCCAAACAGTAGAAGAGTGAAACGAGGTAAAAGAATAAATTAACAGTGTATACTGACAAACCGAGGAATATTTTACTTGAGGAAGTTCATAGCATGTTTCGCGATGCCTCCATGATTTTCCCAGGCGTCAGAGCAACTGGCCATGAAAAAGACAAAAAGAGGAGTAGGTAAATTCGCCCGTGAAAATAGAGAAGGTGCCGGGAGGCAGTGGGGTTCGAGTAGGCTATGAAACATATGATATATATATATGCCGAGGGAGAATGGAGGGGGCGAGCGGAGACGAGGGCGAAGAAGAACCTCCTGCAGTTAGGAATATCGCGCGCATGGCCGTGAGGATCGAAGCGGCTGACTAAGCACGGGGAGAGCGTGATGTAACGTGCGATTAAACAGGAGCCGAAAGCCCGGGTCAACAGACCGCTAAAGAAAGAGAGTGGAGACACAAAACACAGTAAAAATAATCTATGTACATATTTCTAAGCGTCTAGAGCGTTTCCACTAAGCATCGATAAATGCCAAATTTAACGTCTCTGAAAAGCCACAGCTAAACTACCGGGATCGCGGAGTACGCAGTCTAGAAAGAGAGTCACTTCGGCAACTACAGGACGATACAAAACTGGTAGAAGGCTTGCCGAGAGAACCGGAGAAAGGCAACAACGTAGTTGTGGCTCTCGGTACCGATGGAATGGGTCTTGAATCTAGACGCGAGAAAACACGTACGTACATACATGCGGCGGAGACGCAAGAGAGCGACGAGCGTCACCGATAATAAACGAGTCCTGTGCTGGTATAACGCGTAGAACCTACGTACAATGAAGAGGGGGTAAGGGACGGTGAGAGAGAAGGGGTCTTCACAATGCTCTCCAGTACTGTTCTAAAACGTAATTTAACGCGAATGCACTCCCGGGTTTAGCGAATGTATTATTGCCACGAATAACAGCAGCAGGAGCCTCACGGGGTTTTGGTTATGTCGCGTCAAATTCACGGTTGCCATTTGCGATATCGTGTACGTGATGCTTTCCCGTTTACGAGCCGCCAAAAACGATCGCCAAGTGTCAAGGTTGCCATTTTACGTAAACACGAGTACGGTCCACGCACGCTCGCGCACTCACGCTCCCGCGTACTGGCATCGCTGTCACAACAATCCTATTATTGCGGTTACCCGCGCTTATTTCTTTGTGACACTTGTACGCACGTACGCCATTGCACGCGTTATTGACAACGCGATTGTAATTTCGCAATGTACCTCGGCAGGATAACACGACGCGCCACCGACCTAAAGCGCCGTAACAATTTTAGCGAATTTCGCTAAGGATTCGGCGGTCGGCACTCGCGAACGAATCCCCACTACTTGTTCGATTCGCGATGCACTGCGCATGTCGCTACTATCAGGGACGTACGATTACAAGAATTATTTATATAGCTTTGACCCGGGGCCCCATTTATTTTACTTCTTTAGCCGCGTAGAATTTCTAGCGTTGTAACTGGTTGGTAACTAGTGTGGGCTATGTTCTCCTAGTTCTTTGCGGACACCTTTCCTCGTTCTTTCATTAGCATAGAGAAGAACTTTCCATACGAATCTGTTTGGTACTTACTATGTTGACTAGTGATGAGTCACTTTTCTTTTTTTGTGGGGATTGTATAGTAATACCGAGTTTACTTTTAGGGTGAACCAGATACCCTTTGGAAATACAGCCCTTTGTCAGTACCTCGCCCTTCCATACAGCTTTTGCATATTCCCAGGACAAGAGTTTCATTTGTTCTATATTGAAATAAAAACGGTCGTCTTGTCTGGTATGAGTTAAAGACACACGTGCATGGTGCACTGTGATTCATTGTTTAATGATGATTACAATTATAGGTTTGCAATTCAGCTAGTAATTCGTGCGACCTTCAAACAGCCTTGAGGGCAAGGGATTTGCTCTAGATGTATTGGATTTTGGTTGGAGTTTTAGCTTCCTAAAGCTGAACTGTTCTCCTGAAACAAATATAAGTAGTTTCAGGTTGACTTTTCGTTATAGTGCATGTTTTAATTGTCAGTGATCTTGGAGAATTGATTTTTACTAGTGATTGGTTATGATAATTATTAATTTTTAATGAGTTAGAGCATAAATTACGCTGGTGATGAAAATAAATGTTGACGGAGTACGATGGATCTTCTGGTCCAAGTTCTAATGCCCAGTGCGTGGCACCATGCTTTAATTAACGTGCCAATCCTGACTGACGTCATAATCAGTCGACCAATCCACTCAGCCCGCGAATTAACCATGCAAACACCTGACACCATTTGATGCGTCCCCTTGCCACATCATAAAGTGGCTGGCTGTAGCTGAGGAAATCATGGGGAAGTCCCGTGATCGATGTCAGAATGATAGATTAATGCCCAGCTGTGCTTATGGTATGATTCAAGTAGCCAATCCTTGTAGAACCTTGTAAGAACGTAGGAATTCTTTAAAAAGGTGGCGGCATGCCTATATATCGATTATCGTCAACGACCAATGAAATGCTTGTGCGTCGTAAACAAATCTCTACGATTGGTGGAAACTTTCCCGCCAGCGGGGATTCGGGAATCCAGGGTTTTAAGCATGCGTACAAAATACATTTGGCGTTCGATCCTTTAATGATCAATTGCATTACACGTTTCATGGTTCAAGGTCACGAAAGTGAGTATCTCTGTATGCTGCCTACGACCAGAAATAAATATATCCTTCCGTGAATAAGCCATAAAATTTTTTATTTGCTCTATTTATTGTACTAAATCAATACTTGGGTCGTTGAGTATAATTTGCATTTTCAGTGACGTGGAATGTTCAAGGTCATGGTTCAACTATTAGACGAATATAATTAAATTTTTTGTTCTCTTCCTTTTTTGTGGTTTACAATTTCATAAAATATTATTTGTGCATAAGTCTAGTGCGTTGGTTCCTCTTCAGTCGAGTCTAAGCGGAAATGTGAAGTGATTGCGATAAAAATAAACGATTGAACGGGTTATCGAAATTATGATACATACAAATAATAATTTTCTTTTTTTTTTATTTAATTCCTGGAGATGGGATTATTTTACAAATATTTGCATCGTACGTAAATGTAAGTCGCTCGATTGATCCGAATAATCTTACAGTTGAGAAGCATCAAGCACAATACAAAAACTACGTTTGTTGCGAAAATTCAGATATAATATTAACCCTTGTTTTCTGTTTATTGTAAAGCAACATTGAGCATTTAAACATAGTAGACAGGCGTTACATAAAAAATTTTCATAAAACTGTACCAATCGCAGACTAATTGCATTATCATTCACATACGGTACGTTGAGCCGAACAAATTTGAATGAATTATATAAATATTGTATGTTATATGACGCAGATATATAAAGCAGAAACAAGAAAGGTTCAATTTTCAACAGAACATTATCATAGCCTAATACGTCGCTTGGCAAACGGAAAAATGAAATTGTGGTCAGAATATTTATCTGTCCATTACGCTATCGTATCCTGGAGTGTACGCTGATTAACGTTCAGAAATAAATGACTTTGAAAAAAGTAAAATTAAAAAGAAAACGCAAATGATCCACTTTACTGAGAAGAGAATCAAAGTGGTATGAAAATTTAATCTAACGCCATTCCCTCGTCATCGTCGTCCTTCTTGTCAGAGGAGGAACCGCCTCCCTGGGGTGGTTGTTGCTTCTTGCTCTTATCGTCTTGTCCTTGCTGTCCCTGATCCTGTTCGCTCTTAGCCTCTGACTCCAAGGCAGTGACGAATTCTTCAAGATTTCCACTGGCCGCCGCGTTCACTGCATCAGCACCCAATCCGAATTGTCGGATGACAGGGCCCGCCTGGCCCGACTGCAAAGCAGACCAGAACATTGATAGCGCCTGGGAGAACTGGGGAGATGATAGCGTGGTACACAGGCTGTCCCCGGGCGGCAAGTGCGTGCTCATTACTCGCTCCAGACTTCCCGTCGCAGAGAATGCCGATGGGATGGCATTGGTCAGCTCGGTCGCTACGCCCCTCTGCCGGACAATAAGCTGTGCTGTAGCTGACCGAGAACAGCAGATAATCCCTGAACCACCACCCCAACTGCTCAGCAAAGCCAGGGTCTTCGACAGCCACGAGAAGTTCAGGCACAGAATGCTACCAAGCAACGTGAAAACCATGCCACCGTTTTTCACAGATATTAAAACGACGTGCCTCTCCTTTTATTCGATTCCCTTTTGCTATTCTTATTTACTACAATCAACCACACCACAAGACTTCACTTGCTATATTGATTTTGACTGACAGCACACTGATGTTATTATTAAAAATACGTCTACACTTGTGGCATGGACTTCCTTTGCGGTACTGGAGGTTTGGAAACGTCTGATACGCTACATGTTGCCTGAACGAAAAAGTACTTGTTTGCCTGGAACCTTATTGCAGCTGTAACCGGACACTCTGACACGTAATGTTGTGAACATCAAAGTGTAATGTGGTGATTAAGTCCATTAGGAGCGTTTACAATTTTGTATGACTGCGAGGTCTTCCTCAATTTGTATACTGAAGCACCGACGAATTTTCTGTGATAACTGAGGATTTCTGTTATTAAACAACTGTCTGTTATGGATTTTTAAAACCTTATATTGCCGAACTGAGGGTTCTCTGAAACCACATAATGAGTGAGCTTTGAGCAATTAGTTACATGTATCATAGTGAGTCGAAATGTCTTCTAATCAAATCCACTTACTTGTGTAGTTTAAGGGGATTTGATTTTTTTTCGTTTTCTTCTCTTTATCGATAAAACTGATATGAGATAGGGAAAGAAATTTTTAAGTTGATTATCTATAATTCTTATGAAATTATATGATGAAAATCGATAAACAATATTACGACTTTTCTGATGCACAACAGAAGTCCAGCGACCGGTTGTTGGCTGTTTGCACCCCTTGCTATTCTATTTCGTAGCAGTACTTCTATGTTGCTTATCCTGCGTAACACTGGGGGAGGTTAATATATTGCTTCGATGACACTGTAATTTATAAATGATGAACAGATGATTCGTAAATTAAGTGTTTTATATATATTGAACTTTGTATGCTTAACAATGAATTGTATCAGAAAGTTTCCAAACACAGTTACGGTTGTTGAGAAGTATGGATTTAATGACTGCCAGATACGAAATACAGCGAATGGCATGTTTTCCTGAGACAGTTAGAGTGAAGCTATAAAGTACTTAGTAATGAGATAAATAATCTATCCCTGCAATCCATTCTGTTTAGTTTCAACAGGTCTGTGCCAATACGATTATATTGGGCCTCTGACTGATAACGAGAAGTTGTATTGGTTTTAATTTTCGTATGAAGATAAAATAATAAGTATAAAAATGAAATATATCAACTCATGAAATTAAAAGGTTAATATAATCAACATGTGATATATGGTGAATTTAAACATATAATTATTTTATATTTATATTTTTTTAAGAGGAAACGTTAGAGTGGGTGCATGATAAAAAATAAAGAAATAATGTAAGTCAATTTATGCAAGACTTTCTAAGAATTTTGTTTCGCAATTGGCCAATGCGTTACGAGGCTATGCTATGTAAAAGATTTTGACAGTATGTTTGGTATTAAAGTTTAAGATAGAAAAAAGGAGTTCTAGGTACAGGCCTGTGATTGTCGTATGAAGAAAAGCGAAGTAAAAAGAGAGGGAATTATTAATCTAATCAAAATGTTTATGTCAGAAGGATAAGAGTGAAGCTTACTGAACTCTACAAAAGTAAGCCTTGATAATCCCCTCCATGATTTTTCAGTATCACACGACACAGACTTTTATCTACAATCTAGAACATTGAATTAGTCAATGTTTAAGATTATGATGACACAAGACTATCTTTAAGACACATTCTGCAGTGCCTTGAAGTAATCTAGAAATTCTGCTCGATAAATGGAGTTGCATCAAACAGTAATTATATGTTTAATATTTTTATGTGCAATACAAATTTAACGTGTAATATTTTTCTCAAATAAAAATGATATACGACTTTTTTCGGATAAAACATAACTCATATAACAATATTTGTAAATGTTTTCTCCGAATGGACAATACTGCAATAAATATATTATAATCCATCGCCCTCGATCAATCATGCATATAACTAGACCGGCAACTAATATTTCGTAAATAACAAGCACAAAGGTGGACAAACAAATGAAGAATAGTTGGGCATAATTTTATGATTATACAATGAATAAAACAAACACTATATGTTAAAAAAAGTATAGTATTACCTGAACAACTGGTTCTGCACCAGCAGGAGTAGGGATGCCAGAAAGGAAACTCTGCAAGTCACTCAACTGGATGGGATTACTTGAACTTGATTCACTTTCTGATGCAGCTGATGGTGTTGTCCTTGTAGACGTTTTAGAACCTGGAAGCAAACTTATCAATATTTTGATCCTAGATAGTTTTAAATGATTTACTAACGAGCTGGTTTAGGAGTTTCAGTAATAGCTGTAGGTGCGGGAGTCTGTGCTGCAGGTGGCCTAGCAACGCTTGTAGTTACAGGAGTCGAAGCAGAAGTAATGGATACTCTTGTACTCTGAACACCATGTGGCCTATTCATTGAACCAAGTAATGTGCCAAGACCACTCATTTGACCAACACCACCAAAGAGTTGCATCAATTGTTGCTGAGACATATTATTCAACAAGTTTTGTAGTTCTCCTTCTGGATTTCCACCACCGCTCCTCTGGGATCCTGGTGTAGGTGGATTATTCAGAACTTCGTTAATCTTTCTGCAATGTTCTTCATCTTTGTCGGTCTTTAAATCCTACGTAAGAAATTGATAATGATTATTAAAACACTTTCACATTATATTCTTTAAATCAACCAAGTAGATGCTTGCGAAGATACACTTACCTGCAGCCAAAAAAAGAATTTACGACTGGATAACTTAAATCGCAAAAGATAAACTCTACCGGTTTTACATTGAGGGACGTGCTTGAATTCACAATCCTCAGGAAAGATGATCAAATCCTAAAATGAATATCGTTCCAAGTCATGATTGCAAAAGAATGAATATAAGAACAATAAATGAATAATTATTTGTAAGGTTAATAATTCTTACATCTTCCACAACTCCAGTAGTACGATCTTTCCAACAAAAATGAATAAGAGAATCATCAGACTGATAAACATACAATTGTCCCTTTCGAGTATCTGGGTTGACCATTTTTCCCTTCATAGTCATTTTCCCAGCTTTAAATTCGACCAAATTCTTGGTTGCACCACGCGTGGCATTATTGCCAAATAAAGCTCCGCCTGACATTATTCAAAGATCTTCGATATCACAATTTTACAATAAAGTTCAGAGAATGAGTCCCGGTACTTTACAGAACTTAAAAACCGTGCAGTCATACAGATGACAATGCAATTTAAGATGGCCGAACCATCAAGCCGAATCGTATTCATACGACACTGTCTGGCGACGATCTAATTCGAACAGATAATTGGCCATTGGCATTCCCCACCACTATCAGTTTTCATTTCTAGAGGGAGAATCAATAGCCAATAGTGACAGGTATTTCCGTTAGACGCAGAACAGCATCGTGTACATGAAATATTAATCGTTTGATACTCCACATCCACTGCTCCATATTGCATTATGTCGTATCATAAGGCACGGATATAACTGTCTTGTCAGCATTGTAGAAGTAGAATATGTAGTTTCTTGCGAGGACCGACAGTCGATAACAGTACATACGAGTCGGATCACAAACATTACCCCAGTCAGACAGTAGTGAGAAAAATGGCGGATGTTGACTTGAACATCGACAATCTTATACAAAGATTGCTGGAAGGTACGTAATACGCACAGTTTTATACTTGAAGAGCATTGCTACGTGTTTTCTGGTAATACTAGCTTTTATTTGAGATATGTCAAGCCGAGCTCTTCTGGCAAATTCATTAGAAAAACGCGAGGTAAAGTCCTTCGTACTTATACACTAAATGTGTTTTCTGCCAGTGAAAATAAGATCGCTTCGCCAACTTTTTACCGTTTTTGATGTGGCACGTCCTCATAGCTTGTTCTTATTGTTATTCATTCAGTGGGACAAAACCGTTACCAAAGGATTGGATTAAAAGGTGCTTCGCTTCTAGTCGAAGCACATCACAACTAGAATCTCTTTTTACTTGATTTCATTTATTTCCGTAAAAACTATTTCTGTTTGTTCTTTCTCTCATGCTACGTTTTGGGACCCTTTGCGGTAAAGTATACCACACACAGAAAGACCAGGTTCAGAAGAAAGCCAAGCTTAAAGATATTTTTTCTTCGGATTTTGTCGGTATGCAATGAGGAAACCATTCCACGTAGCTTCATTTTAGTTGCGCCTCAATTACCTGTACTGTGCATGGCAATTCAGGGATATTACTTAGATAGCATATAAAATTAGTTTACTATTTGAGTATCGCAAAGTGTATATATTCTTCTAAGTTCTTTGCCTATCCTATAAAAGTACATCGCATAGAAACCCTTGCAAAACGATCACAGATCTTTCTGCTGTATTGAATTAATTGTGACTACTTTGTTTTTTACATTGGTGCTACCACAAGAACTTTTGATGTATTTATCGATTAGTCACCAAAAGAGCGTTTAAATAACATATTTACTTTTATCACATGACACAAAGATTATATTAAAGATAAGACACTCTACGTTCTGCCACAAAACATTAAGGAGAATTCGAAACGTTTGAATTTTTTACTACTGTAATTTACACTCTTATGCTCAGTATCGTCAAGGTGTATCATTGTTGATGAGATAGAATGCTCTGACATTTTGCATGCATGACAGTCTACAATCACACTGATGCTTCTACCTAATTGCATGATCATTATTTTATCTAAGCAGCAATCTCACTAAGAATTTTGTAACGCTCCAGGCCACGAGCACAGTACACATGAAATGGCGTACATTATAAACCGCGTGTAGATTAATAAAAATTCTCGCCCACGCATAGACGGTTACGTGTAAGATTATGTTTACTTTAGTATCAAATGTCTTTCTAATTTTAGAAATTTGTGTACATGAAAACCCATGTGGCCTAGTTCACCTCTGGACTAGAGTCCGAACCAGTTTTATAAACTTGGCATAAATCCTCCATCGCCCACTGACCCTTAGCATCCGCAGTTTACTTATTTTTAGCATTATTATTTAATATTACGTTTAATTCATGGAATATGGATTTTACTTTCCTGTTCCTCCCGCATATTGAAATATATTCTGCGCGGGTCCCTCGTAATATATTTATAGTCTATTATAACAATACAAAACAAAAAAATACCCTTTTTAACTGAGATATATAGAACTCCGCGTGTCGCCTAGCAAATTAACAGAATATGCTTTTTGATTAGCAGCGAGCATTCGAGTAGATAACGACTCCATTAGCACCTGTACGCAAATACGAATTTTGCATCCTGTCTCCACGTAGGCGGTAGTATGGTAAACGAATTGGCAACTTGACACCATCTGGATATTAATCATATAATGTATAAGCATCGCACAGCTTCGTTACGTCAACTAAAAACAATTTCCGTCCGTGAAAACGATTATTCGTCAATAATAATCCATAAATAGACATCTTCATATATGCAGATACTTAATTCCTGCTGGTCTGTCCTTGAAAGTATTTTACTTTAATTAATTATTTTTGTCTCTTAATACTCTTACTCTCTCCCGTGGATAGCACACGGTCCACTTTGTCGTAGTTACGACCTTGGCGATATGCACTTTTCCAATAATCACAGTGAAAGCAATTCAACCGCACTCTAAAGACCTTTACAGTCATCTATAAATACGGCAAAGCAATGTTAACCAAGCTATTGTTGAGAATCACTCGAACCTTGTAAAGAAAGTTGCGTTCGATCAAACCGCACAATAATTAATTAATCTTAACAGTCAAAAACGCAACGGTTCGTAATAGCCAGCCATGGCAATCGATTATAAACGTTTGGTCAAATAAAAGGTAATCCAAGCAAGTTCATTTATTTGCTTATCATAAAAAGTAATCCATTAGAAGTGTAGCAGCATAAATTCCCAAAGAGTCAAAATACGTCTCTGGTTGTACAATGTGGCGCCATTAAAAAAAAACACGGGTTCACTACAAACGTCCCAAAATGTAGAAGTCTGCATTCACGACTAAGAAGAATCCGTCATTTGGGTGAATCGGGTACGGATTTAAAAAAAAATCTTCCACGTTTTTGACACAGTGCGAGGATGTCGACCTGGAAAGTCAGTGGTTATGACGGAAGCGGAAGTACGCGGGCTTTGTCTGAAGTCACGCGAGATCTTCCTGCAGCAGCCAATTCTTCTGGAGCTTGAGGCACCTTTGAAAATCTGCGGCGACATCCACGGACAGTACACCGATCTTCTGCGACTCTTCGAGTACGGTGGCTTCCCACCGGAAGCAAATTATCTCTTTCTGGGTGACTACGTTGATCGGGGGAAGCAGTCGTTGGAAACGATATGTCTACTACTTGCATACAAAATCAAATATCCAGAAAACTTCTTCCTGCTGCGCGGAAATCACGAGTGCGCCAGCATAAATAGGATATATGGATTTTACGACGAGTGCAAGCGCAGGTACAACATAAAGCTGTGGAAGACTTTCACGGATTGCTTTAACTGTTTGCCAATAGCGGCGATAATAGACGAGAAGATTTTCTGTTGTCACGGCGGACTCAGTCCTGATCTCCAGGTGATTTATAATTCTTTATACGTAATTGATCCATAAGATTTCATCTGTCATCATGCCTTTTTCATGTGCATGATCATTGGTTTTTTTCTCTTTACTTTCGTCACCTAATGGTATTATGTATTTTGTCCTTGAAGGGAATGGAACAAATAAAGAGGATTATGCGACCGACTGATGTACCGGATACGGGTCTTCTATGTGACTTGCTGTGGTCAGATCCCGACAAAGACGTTCAGGTACGGATTAAAAATTTTTCAGGCACGACATCTCAAAATTTCATTGTTCAACTCTGTCGTTGGCACGTCTCATTCTTTCAAGTGCTCTTGACTAGATAAGAGAGAGAGAGAGAGAGAGAGAGAAAATTAAAAAAATCGCAGTAATGAACCTTGCAGGGTTGGGGCTTCTTTCAAGTGCTCTTGACTAGATAAGCAAAGACGTTCAGGTACGGATTAAAAATTTTTCAGGCACGACATCTCAAAATTTCATTGTTCAACTCTGTCGTTGGCACGTCTCATTCTTTCAAGTGCTCTTGACTAGATAAGAGAGAGAGAGAGAGAGAGAGAGAAAATTAAAAAAATCGCAGTAATGAACCTTGCAGGGTTGGGGCGAAAACGACAGAGGCGTATCCTTCACGTTTGGACCGGATGTCGTGTCGAAATTTCTCAATAGACACGACATGGACCTGATATGTAGGGCACATCAAGTCGTGGAAGATGGTTACGAATTCTTTGCTAAACGACAACTGGTCACGTTGTTCTCTGCGCCGAATTATTGCGGCGAATTCGATAACGCCGGCGGTATGATGAGCGTTGATGAGACACTCATGTGTAGTTTCCAGGTTGGTAACACCTTCTTATAATCCGAATGTCTTGCGCGTATACATAGAATATTTATATTCTTGTAAATTTACGTTTCAGATCCTGAAGCCGTCCGAGAAGAAGGCTAAATATCAATATGGCGGTATGAATGCCGGTCAGGGTGGCAGACCATCGACGCCACAAAGAAATCCAACAAAAAAAAAATGACCGCCCTTCGCTGACCCTGCATAGCAGCAAACACTGTCGTTCTAGGTAAGCCAAGCGTGGATGTATTTATTTTATTCTTTATTATGCCGAGCACTAGTTTGTATGTCAAGTGCGAATGATGCTTTATGGGCAGTCAAAAGAGATGAAAGATCGTTGGTTAAAAGACGTAGGTGGGTATACTTAAGGATATTTTCTCTGTGTTTCAGCCACAGGACATACGACTACTGTACTAAACCAATAACTTAAAAGTTAAAAGTATGACCTCTTCCTCGATTGCGTCTTAAAGGTATCCGGCAGAATAATTGCAAAACGTTCTTTATACTTGCACCGTATCGATCGTGTTATATGGGAGTTCGTCCTATGTGCACAGGATATATATATTAAAAAAGAAATTCTAATCTTAATTCGTCTGCCTTAATTTCACACCGACACATTTATCTTTTCGCGTTTAACCAACAGCATTTCGACACGTCATTTAACTATTTATTGTTTAATATTAAACGTGTAATTATTAATATTACGTTCACCTTGCAATTAATTTAATTGTTGTTGATTAGCGAGGAACGCCATATAAATATATATATATATATATTTTTTAAATATCCATCTCACAAATGATAAAGACATCAAGAGTAAGAAACGTTTCTCCACCTCGTTTATCAAATAACCATCGACTCCATCACTTCCTTCTTCAACTTTACTCATCGACCCATCCACCTATCCAGTCTCTGATATTCAGCGACATTGATTGTCGCTGAAGGAGTCGTTATCAATTATTGTCGACTAGCGATAGTGCGTTAAGTAATTTTTCTTCTCCGTTCTTCGGAACTCCCGTCTGAAAAAGGGAAAGAAGATGAAATAAGAGAAAATCAGTATTTTTAAGACGATGCTTCTATATCAATGATTATGCCTTTATTCGACATGTATCTCAAGAGGGATTTAAGCGTACCTACTTAGCGAACTAGTGATGAATTGTTAAAGCGCGATGGTCGCGCGGGGATAGGATACCGACTTCAAAAGAAAAAATTATTAAGTGTAAGACGTATTCGAATGTTTTAAAGAGGCTAATCAAGGATGCGAACTGAATGTTAAACTTGATAACGAGACATAAAAATTCACAGAGGGCTCCTTCAAATGTTAAAAAATCGTAAACCTGTCTAATAATTTAAGTTCAGCGTCTTCTTCAGCCACTACGTACTCTGGCAGTTGAACGAGATATGTAATACCTGGAGAGAATCCTGGCGATCCTCTTCCTCCTCCATGTTACGATTAGAATTTTTTGCCACAAGACTATGCGTTTATTTTTTTAATTTTTAGTAAGACTAATTTTCATTTGTCCAACGAGCGACACGAATTATTGTTAGCAAGTAAGGTGTAACGCACGACTCGGCGGCGTCCTTATCCCCGACGGACGATTGCGAGAGGTTATCCCTTAATGTGCATTTTAGCCAAGATACATATATTATTTGTAAGTGATGTACCTGGTGCGATTGGACGGACGTGTCTTTGCGCGGACAAGGACTAAGTGATGCGAGAACGTGGAGTTCTTAATTGTGACGTCGTTATAATTATTGGATCGTCCTTACTCACTGGGTACGTCATGTTGAGGACATCCTGAAGATGTAAAACTTTCAGATAATAAACATGCATATTGTTGTACATTCGTGTGTTGGGATTATTCGGTATAATTATTTTTTTAGAGTGCGTGGGAGATTAATGGGATTTTGAGTCTGATTAAGATGTTTTTTTTTAAATTTCTTTATTTGATAAACCAGAAATGAGTGACGGGCACGGTTGTGCGCATCGTGTGACATAAATGTTAATAAATAAAATTCCGTGGGCGATCTGTACTGTGAGAGCAAAAATTTCGAAAGTTTTCGGGATGATACAATGTTTGTTGTAATTTTTTTTCTTTCTTTTTTTTCGTGGCTTTTTAAACCGTTTTATTCATGGTTTCGCGTGTTCCATGCGGGATGAGGTGTGGTGTCCCTAGTAGACGTGAGCTGTAATGAGAAAGAGAGAGAAAAATATTGTAAGGCAGATGTAAGGAGTTGTAATCATACTTCTCATGGAGTTTCAAGAGTCGATTTATATTTTGACTTTGGTTAACTTTAAAAAAGATTAGGACTCTTGGAACGTCCCTGATACACATTGACAAACGAGCAGTGGCTTATTCAGGAATTAATAAATATTTGCTGGCTTCGATAATGGCAGTGCAATAGTATAGCTTTGTGCATGGGTAATAGACTTTTTTGTTTTTAAATACAAAATGTCATTATTGACATATATATATATACTTTGCAAGAGTGGATATGGGTGGGCGGTAACAATTATAACGTGTATCAATTAGATTGGGATTACGTAACGTGCTAAAAATTCACTTAGGATATGGTAATCGTCATGACGTAACGACGATTCCAAAAAAAAATATACAAAAATGTTATAAGGGTGGGAACGGCGCCTGAAAAAAAAAAATTCAAAAATCTCATTCCCTTCTTTCCCTCGTTATTCACACAACTGTTACGGCGATCTCGTGTTAATGGCAATTAATACGTCAGAGTGGATTTTACTGTGGCGCCGTTCATTATGGGTTCGGCTGGAACTTTCGGAAAATTTTTATTACTTTTTTGATTATTGACAAGTGGATATTTTTTTGTTTTTGCGAACACAACGTGACTACTTGAAACAGGGGTCGCTCACTTTGTCGTTTTCAATAATTGTACCACGGCCTGGTAAAGTAAAATCGTGGGGCCGGCTTCGAATAATAGTAGTAAAACGATCCTGAAATGTAAGATTTTCGTTCTTTATGTACAGCAAAGGAAATCTATAATGGACGAGACACACGAGGACTAATCTAATATCTATTCGTTGCAGATGCAATAATAATTTGAAAAACTTCTTTTTTTTCTAACCTACAAAAAAATTAATCATTGAAGACAAAGACTAGCCTATCTAAATAATTGCTACCAAGTAAACAAAAATTCATGCTTGCACATATAACAACGTATATGCAGAAGGGCTATTCTCTTCCCGGAAGACGAAGAGATGCCTACAAAAAGAAAGTGCTCACGTCTCTATAAAATTAATCTGGCAATGAATAGGTCCTCCAGGTCTGTAAAAAGATTATTGATTGTAAAAATAATTTTTTCCTTTCCATCGATTTCACGTCTATAGATTTGAGTGAAGTTGCGAATGACCTAATGAAAATATTATATGACTGATACAATGCATAAGACTATGGTTATAGATACGTATGAGAAGACCTACCGAAGGGCCTGAGGGGATGTCGGCTCCAGAGGTAGCGACGCTTGACAGGGCTGAGGTAGCTGTCCCTCAGGTAGAACGGGGTGCTGTACTGCGCGTAATTGGGAATATAGGGTGCATAGCTGGGGTACCACCAGGGGTCCCTGGTGAATGCACTTATGGGAGCCGACGGAAGAGGGTCCAGGAGGTCGAAGAGTGGCTTCTTACGGAGCAGACTTGGTAAAGATGGCAATATGTCGTCGAGCAGGTTTCCTGATGGTAAAAAATTTGAATTAGGATTTTTTTATCATTAAGGTCAAAGGTTGCCAATATCTTTTGACTCTTATTTCTCTTACCGTGGATGTCGAAGAGTGGTTTCGTCGAGAGTGGAGGGCTCCTGTGACGGGATAGAAGAGGACTCTTGCTAGGGTAGAGTCTGTCGATGTCGGCCAGACGGTCCAGATGGTCGTTCCAAGCTTTCTCGGCGTCGTAGGGTTTAGCTGGATTTTTATGAGAGAAAGGACACGTTCGTAAGAGACTTAATATTTAATTAATCGTTTAATGTCTTATATGAATGTTCCGTGGGATTCAATTGACCGAAACAGTGACGATTTCGATTTTTCTTTGTTATATGAAATTTTGAAAAAAAAAAAATCTTCACTGACTCGGTACGTCGTTTCGTGATTGCGTGCACGAGCAAGGGTCCCGTATCGTTGAATTTTTTCTTGTATAGAAATTTTTGGATTTTTTTTTTTGTAATCTTTGTATGTACTGCGTGGGACCTTCGTTATCGTGCTCGCGAATTCATGCGTGAACTGATATGATTTGTTGAATTAAAAAATCCACATTTTCAACACTCTACGACTACTACGGACTCGGAGTTGTCAGTCTCGTTGGACCCCTCGGATCCTTTTATTAATTTTTTTTTTTTTATCGCGTACGATTATGATTTTTGGTGATACACGCTCTCGCGGCCTGGCCAACTTTTGCCGAATTGAGTTTGCCTTCTTTTTTTCTCTTTTCGTTTAGTTGTTTTAGCATTAGGTGCAGTTTTTTTAGCGTGCTTCGTACTGATTTTTTGGATTAACATTTTTTAACATTTGTTTTTCTTTCTATTTCATACGCACCAGTGCCATGCAATGGACATGCTCGGTATTGTATTAGTTTGAAAAAAATAATAATAATTGCCAAGCTCAAGAATACGCTCGAAAGGACTTGCGTCTGATAAGATTGTTATTCTCCGAATTATTTTCAAAATGTATCATTTTTTTTTTGACTTTTTCTTTGCTTTCGAATTATCAACAATCTCATCGATGGCCAAGTACTTGGAGCATACGGGGTCTTGTTTCCGGTTCTCTTGTACAGTGCGTGGCGTGTTTTCCCGCCCTTTTTTTGAATTACGAACGAGCAGCTTATACGTGGGTGATATTTTGGTTACGTGATAGTCGTAGGTTTAAAAGAAAGTATGTTTGCGTTTCTTACAAAATCGATAACAGGACATGTAAAATAGAAAATAATACTAACCTTGGAGAGATTGTTTTTCGTAAAAATCGTCCACTCTCTCTCTCTCTCTCTCTCTCTCTCTCTCTCTCTATCTCTTTCTCTCTTGTCCAATAATTATCCTTGCGACACAGAGATACAGATTCGAAAGAGTCGTAACGTTCAACGGATGACCCAAAAAAAACGTTGGTCAATCTCAAAAAAAAAATAGTATCAAGTTGCTCTTGAAAATGTTGGAGTGTAAAAAATTGACTTTTTTTTCCTCGTTAGAGTACTTAATATACGGGCTGATTTTCACGACTTGTCAAACATAATTTTCCCCGTACTTTTTGGCTATTATTTATTTTTAGTTTTTTTTTTTTTTAATGATACTCGTACATCTCGCGAGATTAATTGTTACTTATGTATTTTCGTTTGTCACGCGTTCGAACGACCACGCGAAATTACGGCGAAAATTATATTTGTCATTTTTCACGGATATTCGCTTAAGGGATCGTCGCAGTGTAAAATTTTCAAAAAATCGATTTTTTTTTTTTTTTCATTATCTGATAGTATACACGGTTATAAACATTCTGTCCAATTTTTATGTCGAAATTCGAATTATTTCGGTCACTACAGCCTTTCTTAGAAAAAGGGATTGGACGGTCAGACCTGGCGAACTACGAACTTTAAACGCGTTTTTTCGGAATGGTGTTTTTCAAAACGGTGGCCACTCTCAAAGGAAGAATTTTCAAGCTATCCATTTGAAATTTTAACAGAACATTCTTCACGTCATTTCTTACGTTGCTATGGAAGCTTTTTTCTTTGTTTGAAATCTTCCAATTTTTTTTTACGAAAAACTGTCAAAAAAAAAGGCTAAATTTTATGTTTTGTTCGAACCGACGACATTTTTTCAAATTTCACTAAAAACAAAAAAGCCTCCATAGGAGCATAGCGACTTTCCCGCAGATTTATAAACCATTTGAAATTTTTGTTTGAGGTAAAATTTGCGCCCGCAATCCTGGCCACCATGGGACACCATTTTTTTTCCATTCAATTTTCCACAAATAAAAAAAAAACGTTAAACGATACATAAAGAAATTTGTTAAAAATCATTTTGTACATTTCATAGGTGCTTCAATTTGTAAAAAAAAAATTAGACCGATTACTTTATTCCATCCACGTAAAAAAAAATCGCGAAAATCGGCTATTTTTCGGGCGGTCACACTGTGACGATCCCTTAAGCTATACAACGGAGGGGGGGTCGTATTAAAAGAAAACATGCCACTTCCTGAAAAAGACAGAAATTTCTGGATCTTGGTTTTAATGAATTATTGCCATTAATTTGTGACGTCGAAATTGCCGCTTGTGTTAGTAACACCTTGACTCTCGTGCAATATTAAATAAAATTCAATTAGAGCATGTATTAAAGGGTTTCGATTTTTGTAAAACGGAATACTCGGTTTACCCTGTTTCTGACGATCATTGAAGCAGAGCTTCGCTTAGCCATTTTTATAAATTCTTTTTTTATAAATTTTTTTTTTTACAAATTTTTTTCTTCAAAATTTCCAAAAAAATTTTTTTCACACGTCCAATGGCACCAGCGAGGATCGGCAGTCGTCAGATTTGGGTAACCGTGACGTACCGTCGAAAAGAACCGAAAGCACGAAATTAGAACACGAAGCTTTAAGAAAAATTTCCAGCTTTTTCAAGTTTGGGCGGCCGTAGTCGAGTTGTGTTTTTTTTTGAGTGACCATAGACGGTCAGAAATTTTCTATATTTTCACTTTTCTCGTCAGCACGCTGTATATCGGATGAAATTCATTCGATCTTCCCGAATGGGATCCAAGGGTAGACAAGTACATACAATGATATATAAAGGGCTAGAATTACACGTAGCCACAGTTACACGTATCGTAATTTAAAGCCTTAATGAAACCTCCGGTAGTCATTCTTATGCGTCTACTTAATTAATCGCAGATTAATCGGTCTCGTTACAGTAACTATAAACGGCAAAGAAAAAAAAAACCATAAAAAAGAAAACGGAAAAATAATTTTCCATTTTGTGTAATTCCAAAAAAATTTATCCCCACTACCCCCGCCTTAAGAGCGCAGACGAGAGCGTATACGATAATTTTTGTTGTTGCTCGCAAAAAATTTTTTTCGATATTGGCTCGGAGTTTCCATGAGAGCGACAAAGAGAAAAAAAACGAGCATATCTAAAAGGAACGAATGAAAATGCACGCATAGTGGATCGAGGTGCGAATTTTTTTGTTTCTGGGTAAAATTTTGCCTTTTTTCATATTATTATTATTATTTTTTGTTTTCTGTAAATCCCTTTAACGCGTGCGCAGTATGAAACGATGTCGTGCTACCATGTTGATATAATTTCGCTCTTTTATTTCCCACTTGCGCGAGATCTGTTGGCGCTTAACGTCGCTCATTTCCGTGATGCGATTCAAAATAATGAATTTCGATGGACAACTTCCTGGAAAAAGTCAAAATCATAAGCATGCAAGGCGTCAGTCTTTAACGTTGGACCTTTGATTTTACTCCATTTATTCCCATACTCATTCTTTTCTCTTATTACTGGACGTTTCACAAGACATCTTGAACGGGTTGACAAAGACACGACACAAACTTCGAGCGACGATGATCTTGTGCTCTTCTGTGCTGTTGTCGTTTTTATGTGGCTGTCTGTGCGTGACTGTCTGCTATGGCTGGTTTACATTGGACGCTCAGAATACGTCACGTGAGGACGAAACGAATTTGTTGGATCGTTGTACCAAAACTTTTACTACCCCGAATCAAATGAATTTTAACGTGCGACCCTTATTATTACCTCGGGTCAAAAATCGTGGGTGCATTTTATGTCCCTCGAATTTTTCAAAATCGCGATTTTGATCTTTTGATTTGTTTTTTCCTCTTTGTCTTTCAGAAATATAAGAAATCGCGGAACCGAGCGTAACCATCCCCCCGGAAACCGAAACGGACCGCCCTGAAAAATGATTTTCAAAAAAATTTTTTTTCCCGAAAAGTCGCAACGATGAACCGCGTGAGTTTCAGGTTAGAGATATACTTAGAATTAATATATTTATACTTTATTATTATTATATAAAATAAAAGTAGCGTAACGCGGTCTGCCTTTGGATCGCTCGAAAAAAATGACCCGGTATATTATGTTCGACTTTTTTTTTTTTTTTGATAATTCGAATTAAAATCAAAAGGCAGATCGGATGGTTTTCTTAAGCTAAAAAACAAAAGCTGTCTTGAAGAGACGAGCGCGTGAATCGTTACAGCTGTATAACAATAACAAATTTAACAATGGCGAACGGATATTAAATTTCTTTTTTTCTATTCGTTCAAAGCCCGGAAAAAAAACCGTAAAAGCAAAAGTTGGACTGAACACCGCCTACTCCTACTCCATTATCAGTATCTTAAGTAGCTTTAGCGAAATAAAAGACACGACGGATACGTGCTATACGTAATACCTTCTTTGATCATCTTTCTTATTTCAATTTTTTGTATTACTTTCAACTTTTATATATTTAAATATATATGTATGTATATGCATGTATATATATTGTATATAATTAACTTAGATACAAAGAGTGTAGAGTAAAATTAGTATCATTATATATGATATGATATTCTCGATTAATCGTATCAGTTACAGCTAGGGTACGTTTTTGGTTGTTCTTTTTCTAAACACGTATGACTAAACGGTAAGATGCATTTGGTTTATATAAATGAAATAGGAGAGTGGCACAAGAAAATTTAGTAATGACACTAGTGACATTAATGAAGAATCGAACGGGCATCGCTGGTACTATTTAATAAACACTGTTTTTTTTTTTTATTTTTTCTTTCATATTCTGTTTAGTCGAGTGCAGGCATCACTGTAGGACATTGTTGTGTTACTCATTACTTCCAGGGAAGGACGTCGTACAAATTCGTAGTTAACAATTGGCGTTTTTGGCTTCTGATTATATATTACCGACCGAGGGTAACCGATGGCATGAAGAGAAATTGATGAAAGAAAGTTGAGAGAATAGAGAGAGTGTGTGTGTGTGTGAGAGAGAGAGAGAGAAATAAAGAAAGAACAGAAGGATATAGAGGAAGAGTGACAGCGAAAATCATGCGTAAGACACAATGAAATTGATCGTGATTTCAAAAAGTGCCGCGATAACGGATGAATTTTTATAGTACGAAAATTCGTCGTACGCGGCGCTGCTAATCGGAAGCCAAAAAACAAGCCTTGGTACATCAGTGAGAACTTATCGAACTAACTGTATGAGCCCGAATGCAAACGTTGGGTTATAAACGTGGTTATTGGATGATACTCTCGACGGCACGATGCGATGGTACTAATATTTTCTTTGTATTTTGCATTCATTTCCGTTTTTCTCTTTCTTTTGTCGTTTCTTTTTCATACTTTCGAAACTTCGATCTTTGTCTCCGATTTTTCTCTTTCGCTTGTTTTTTTTTTTAGTTGTTTAGTACGTACCGGGGGTGTAGCGTTCTATGGGTTTGTACTGGTGGGGGTACAGCTGCCTGGGCGAGTATCCGTAGATCTCACGGTGAACGGGCAGGTACCTGAAATATAGTAAAAATAAATATAAAAATAAATTGGAAGAATTTACTTGATTAAATTTAATGAACACTTTTTTTGAATAAGAATCATCATTCGATGACTTTCAAAGGATCTGTTTCTACACACCTGTATCCAGGTACGTTGATGCGTTCTCCGGCGTGGATGGGATCGTCGTAGATGGACTTTCCCCAGGGCCACGAGGTGGAATGCAGCTCAGGGAATTCCGAGCGGAAAATGCTGCGGGGCCTGTGAGTGTGCTCAGGGGCCCTTATGTCGTCGGTGCCTGTGAAAATAAAATAGCCCCATTTTAGATACGTTACGTAAGAAGAGGATACTGTCCTTCGTATAGAAAGTAGGTTCTCTTTTTTTACCTTTCAACGCGCGGACGTAGCTTTGCCAGAATTTGGCTTTCTTTGTGATGGGCTCGTTGCGCCCGATCATGTCGAGATTGCTTTTGAATCGCGCGTCCATTTTGTCGCTCTACTGAACTGCTAACCACACTCGTTCGCTGTAAATTAGAAAAAAAAAGCAAAGACACGTTAATTTTCATTTTGGCACTGGTGCCATTTCTTTAAAATGGAAACTGATTTAACGCACGAGAGCTATTTCTTGTTTTCATTTCGTTCTTTTAGAAATTCCGATCTTGACGTTTCTCAAATAAAGTTCTAAGACTTTACGAGATTCTGTTAGGATTGAACTTTCCTGTTTACGAAAAATTGCATAAACGACAGTCACGCGTAACACGTGGGCTTGTGCTTTTAACCTTGTCGTTATATACCAATCGTAAGCCTATTTTAGCTCGTCGCCATTCCATACTCTTCTGACGTTTTCACGATTAAATTTCCGTGACTTAAAGAATTTCTATTTTAAATAATCATAGTCCTTTTCAACAGATACCAATTTACCAATGAATATTATTGTAGCGTTGAGTTACGTGGTTCGTGTATTAAAATTTCAAATTTTCTCATAACGGTCAACGAGTGAAAAGATTTTCATGAAAGCGATAAAAGATATAACTAGTTATGCATAGCTCCCGCTCTACATTTTTCTTTAATAGCCACTTAGCTGTTTTTGGCATGAGGCATAATTCTAAAAATACAAGAAATATCGTTGATAATTATTTTAAATCTCGGTGGCCCACTCGAATGAAACACGCCTTCCGATTGGCTCTGAGTCACTCGCTCGAGCCAATCGAAGACAGGGACACGCAAACCGGCGTCATCTTTTATTTTGTTGACGCAACTTTAAAGCTAATTTTAGCGCGCAACCCCCGTCCGTTCTGGATCGCCCTCAATGATTTCGCATTTCTGCAAAATGCCAAGAATCACTGCGGCATTGCATACCGTTACGGATCTACTTTATATACCAGCAAAATTTAACTTCTATTTTCAGGTATCCCACGGCAAATTGAATCTACATTTTTACACTCTTCTGGTAATTCCATACCGACTGTCGATACAATGAATTTTCCGTTGTACCTTCAGACATTTTCTTTCTTTACTATACGACTAACCCTAATAAGGACAGTCATACTGCAAACTATCGCAAATGATACGTATCTTCCATAAACATCTAACAGATGGCATCACGATCCCGACAATGAATTCATTTAACACCGCGCAGAAGCGTCTCGAACGAACCGGAGTCTAATAATTTCAAGTTCTCGAGACGGAACCCGCCCACGTCGTCTGCCCTTTGCAATAAGGAAAGAGCCGCAAGAGAAAATCAAGTAAAACGATTGGTCGGGCGGTAACGCGTCTCGGCGCCCACGACGCCTAGTGACGCAAGAGTCCCGGATTCGCGGTCGCTATATTTAGGCTGCCCGGGCCGGGCCGTTTTTAGTCGGGAAACAGGTGGACATCCAACCCCATGAATCGCTTCAAGTCGGTTGACTTTGACCGATTTTCAACTTACCCGCGCAAAATTCGCGCCCTTATTTATTGTTTCATTCTTAACAACCCAGTAAGTCCATTACAATTTACTATAATTCTCAACAAAATCATATTCCAGCCATAACCTCAAATAAATGACACGATCCAAAATTCTAGGTCATAGTTCAGATATCTCTTCAAAGTATAACAGAACCAGTAACACTGACCTTAACCGGCTAATGCTCAAGAGACATCGAACCCATCTGACATACGTCAAAGTAACATTAACCAAACATCAGAATATACACAAGTCTAAATCTGCCACGAACTCCAGGTTATATTTAAAGATTTATAAAATCCAATGCAGAAAAATAGAAAAAAATTCTCACTCTAACCTACGATACGTGTCGGATATAATTTATGACTCAAGGTCTTGAAGGCTTTGGATTTATTTAAAAAAAAATCACTTTTCTTTATGCACGCATTAAACGGGGATTACCCAGAAGACACCATCCGGACTGTCGGCTGTAATCTAGATGGCTGCTAAAAATACTCGTGGCGTGGTCAACCAAATCATCCGGGGCATAGGTCCAAAAACTGAAATATATCTCGGCGGCTATAGGTTTCCTCGAGGCTACGTTAGCGTTTCACGTCTAAACTGTTTATGCATTGTACAATCGACGTTACGAAATTCTTATGTCAGACCCTGTATATATACCCTCTATTGCAACTACGTGGTTATCAAAACTTTGGCAGTCGGGGTCCTGTCTCTTTGTCAGCTGCCACGTGGTTCTACTACCCTCGGTGCAATGGCAGATCTACTATTTTGTGTATTGCTCTGCCAATTTTATCCGCCTTAATGAGAACTATTTATTTCGCACTTCGTCACTTTCGACACTCGGCCTGACGCAATCGAAACCCGCGATCGCGGCCTGGTTCATCCGATTGCGTATAAATAAAATTGCGTCTCGTCTAAGAACTGTGGGTGATCTATTTTATTGCTGCGATCGTAAAGCGATAAAATCGAGAGCAAATTGAATTTTCTACGCAAGGCATATTCTTTTGGATTTTTTTTTTCATTTTTCAAATTCTCTCTGTGGATTTGTTTTACGAGAATATCGATTTAGTGAAAAAAATGGAAATATCAAAATTCTATTTTGTAAAAGCTAATATTGTTATGCGTTCTACTGTGGAGTAGAATCGGTAACGGGTCAGACGTAGCGACCTAGCAACACGCTGAGCACTATTTTCGTCCGGGATCTCAATACGAAATGTTACATAACTATCAAACAAATCTCCCTCAATTATTATAAACAATCGATCGCCCGATCGATATAAACGATACGTGGTTGGTTTGCAGCTGACATTGAAAATCGTAATTTCAGCTAAAATATCGATTAACGATACCATAATGAGATTGCTCGAAAAAATTTTGTTCCGCGATAAATATTTGTATATGAAAAAATTTTTTAATTTTTTAAACAATAATTCCTATTAATACATTAATTATTCACACTGTACGTGCGTTCCCGCGTACCAGGACGCATTTAATTATGTATCTGGGACACGTAACGATAAACGCAACTAGATATACGGCATATGCACAAAAAATGGTTATGGGATGCGGTTAGCGGGTGCATCAAACGTTTATTATCAAACTGCATAATGTTGACGTGTTATGGTTAGGCAATAAAAAATACTCAAATACAATTGGTTAGTACGTGTAACGAGAGTTCATACTATATAGTGTAGAACAGAGACAGGTAGAAGAGGTGTAAGAGATGCAGGTAAACTAAAGTCCAGAATGGTTTTGCACTGGCACAGTACTTCCTTTGTTTGTCTCTTAGTCTCTTTTGTAACTGCAACTCGACACGGGATCTCGAGCTTTTTCGAGCTTTTTACGTCGAGAATCGTCAGAGTTTCTGTGGCTCTTTTTTTTTGTTAGTCCGTGCACTCACGATATTGTTGTTATCTCGTGCGTAGTTTGGCGTTCGCTGTCTGATCCTCGATACTCGTGGTAAATAGAGTGAGTGAGAATAATGCAGCAAAGTAGCAGAAGAAGGTAGAAGTAGTAGAAGACTTTTTTTTTAACGAAAAAACAGAAACCAACCAAAAGTATCACGGAAGTACGAAGAAATAAAAAAAAAATATAAAACTTTCGTCCTCCTTAAGTACTTCGATCAATCCGATCGATTCGATGAATCCTTTACCTAGTTTCGGATGACCGGTCGGTTCGGGGGTTGGACCTTACACTGCGCGGCCGCCGCCAAAAAAGCGCACTAGTATAGGTCGACCGGTGGCGCCGCGCTGCGGGAAAATTCGGCGACACGCGCGGGACATTTATGGCAACCCCCACATGGGGCCAACGATTGGTCAAAACATCGAAATACCCCTGTACGACGAGGACTACGACGATGACTGACATCCTCCAATACAATTCTACACGTTCCGCAATTTCTACAGGCACTTTGAGTAAATGTCTTTTTGTATATTTGTTTTGTTTATCAAATGCCAGGATGACGGTAACTCTGCCAATCTAGGTTAGATTTACAAAGCTATAAAAATTTTCGAATGATGATTTTGCATTTCTTGTTCGATTACGACAGTGTTTGTTAAATTTGAAGTAGCATATAGAGAGTTCTAGAATAAATTTCAGTTGTTTGTTATTTGAAAAAGATCATTTTATTTCAGACGTCTACACAACGGATCCTGAGAATTCGAAGATTTAAAGCTACCTGAATTAACCGGATCGGAATTGTTTTCTTGATCTTGAAGAAGAATCGATCAAGAGAACAGCGAAAGAAGAAAAAAAAATAAGAATTCGATCATCATTTTGGAAAAGGAATGTTATTCCTAAGAATCGACGGGAATTTTCGTTGTTACATGAGGATTGATAAGGAAGGGTTAATGGCGAGCGAATTTCCGGTGGACTTGAGAATAAATCCGTCTGTTTACGACACATCGTCTGATGACGTCAGGACGCCCCGGTCATACGTCACATGGCGAAAATACGATTTAGCCGTGCGCAAAAAAATAAGTATCGCCAGCGCGAGTTCTCAACGGACGCCGTGGATGAAAAATACTTGGAACAGTCGATATCTTCGGATCTTGACATGGTAATGAGGCTTGAGACGTTGAAAGAGATAAGTATCACTTAAGATCGACTAATCCCAAAAAGGGCACGAGTCCGGCGACTCGGTGTCTCGCATTACTACACGACGATATCGACGTCCGCTAGAAAGGTGATCTTTCCGATTTGGCACTACTTATTCAAAGCAACCCCAGTACGCTAACTCGTATACCCGGTGTGCTAAATGCAAGGCTATTTTTATTTCTGTATTCTCGTCCTCGCTCGTCTGTATAGATAGTATTTATTTTAAATTCGGCCACGGCCAAACGGTGCGAGATTCCGAGATGCTACGACCACTTTTCACTCCGATGACTCTTGACTTTAAGCTACGTGCACACGTAACCGTTACACGGTATACAAATATATGTAAACCCATATACAATTTCCATCTAGACCTTCCCGTTCCGTCGTAACTGAAACACGCGATACTCAGAAATCTGTGAGTCTGATCGAAGGATCCTTCAAAAGTTCCACTCGTCCTAACCCTCCTCATTGATACCCGCTGAAATTCCAATTTGGAATCCCATCCAATTTTCGCGATACTTTCACGAGCCTGTCCATCCAAGTGTCTTCTCGGTGGTTCACGTGGTACTTCCAAGGTAAGTCGAGAAGTTATTACAGCCGTCTAGTTATTATTCACGTACTACCCCACGGAGGTCTTACGGAGTCAAGTTTTCGAGGTTATGTTTCCTCGCATCAAATATTCTAACGCGTCAAAAGTCCGCATGGCACGTCATAATACATCGACTAACCTTAAATAAGAGTCCAGGACTCTTGAGATTTGTAGAGTCATTATCTGTGACCCAGTGCTGTCTTAAATATCTATACCTATAGCATCCTTATATGTTACAACATTCTAGATTTCAGCGCTTGACCCAGTTCTCAGCTTGGATTCTCAGTCTCGTTTCAAAATTAGACGTCCAACGAGCACCCGCATAGCGTCGTCCAGAAGTACAAAGTATCTACAGGGTGGTCATAGCTAACACGGATACCAGTCTCATTTTGTCCATCGCAGGTAATCATTCTGGTAAGAAAGTGTCTAGGGACTTTTTTCATTATGGCGGCGCTGCTTCCTCGGAGAATTCACTATCCAGTCTGGATAATTATAGACGAATCGTGTCGCGTCTTCTTGCCGTAGGTCGTGACGTGTTTGTGTACACAGGGTGAGGATGAGAAAGTTTGCCAGAGTTTAAAGCCAGGATTAAAAATGGCGAAAGTCGTCACGACGCGGAGGCGACGGTAAAAATGTAGCCAATACGTGAATGGGCGTTTGTGGTTATAATTGAACAGCGTGACGTTACGTACTGCGTATTGGATGGAATCATACGTCTGCTATAGGAAATGGTGTAACTTGTTATGTACTGTCGGATAAATAAATTCTTCGCTCGTGAGTTGGACGTCCATAAATATACATACTACAAATCCTATACGTTATTCTGCCGGTTCAGCCAATTAGCTGTCAGATTGGAGATGAACTGTGAATGCGTCGGAAATACGTACAGGTTATGAAAGCCGAAGCGGACGGGAGTATTGGATAAATTTGTGGGAATATTATGCGCCTTTATCGACGATCCATATATCAATTGAAATATCTGTCGATTTATTTTCGTACAGTGCACTGGATACGCGCGTGTAAGTCATTTCTGTATCTTCGTACTAATTTAAGAGACGGTACGTCATTTCTATTTTTATTTTTTTAATATCCGTATTCGATTCGACGTAGAGATTACTTCGTGTACGAATCCACTGGCTAAACTTTGCCGTTGCTTCTACCACTGAATTCGTTCTCGTCGATCAACAACTTTTCGAAACTCTTGTCTTCAGCCTGAAAATTGCCTGTCCGTAGCAGTCCGGCTGGACTCTTAGGAGTTGTCAACTTACTGCCAGTGACCATGGGAACACGTTGGAAAACATTCGGTTGAATTCCACACAGGGGTATCTTGAAATGCACGAAAATCAATAAGACCGTCTTTAACGTAAAGCCCATCCGAGGACGCTGATCCTCGCTAAATTGAAACTTATGAGTTTTCCAGCCCTTCCCAACGTGCTTTTCTTATTTTCGTTCGCCATTCTTCTTGGCTGTTAAGGAGGCCTTGTCTCCTTGGTAACTGATACGCCTTATTAGTGGGATATCCATCTCTAGACGTACCAGCTTTACACGCACCAGTCCTGACTTCATATCATTTTACACCAAGTCAGTAGCCTTTTCAGGATGCACGTGCACTCTGTCTTTTTATGACAGTATAATTCCTCGTTATAACAGTGACAGGTATTAAACTAAATATATATATATATATATCAGTAAAGTATGATACCTTTTGGCAAAGACTATAATAAACGCTAAGAAATTTTCCAGTAAATATCACCGGCTGGATACACTCAGTTATTCGACAAATGGATGCTTTGTCGTGGTGAATGCAGTAAATCCAGTAGCATTTAAAAATGTCTTCCATTCAAAGATATTTAGGCGATTTGGGTGGGCGCGCAGGGTGTTCAGGACCTTCACTTTCATTCATGAAATTCTTCGTGACCACAGGCCATTCTGCGACACTCTGGGGTATCCCATGACCCCAAGCTATGGTTACAATACGTAAATGGTTTGCCAGGTCGTATTGACAATAGATGAAAAATACAAATATTTTGGCTCGCTACGATTTCACGCCACGACACCCTTCTGATCTCATCTGGTACCATCTCGTCTGTGCCTCTCTGTCGGTGATGCTGTGCGCTCACGCCTTTTGCTTATTCGCATTAATTTTTGGCTCCTCGCTCCGTTCCATCTATAATTCCGCTTGGTGGACGATAGTCAAGACCACCGGTATATTACTTGGCTAGTGTCGTCGATAACTAATTTAGACGTTCATGACTCAAGGTCAACCGCGTGCTGCTGGGAAACTTTTTTAGACGTGGACATCGCGACCGAAGGACGAGAAATGCGAGAAGCTCAAGAAGATGAGGAAGTTGTATCTATTTTTTTTTTGCGATACCAAAGAAATTTTACAAAATTGAAGTCAATGAGAAACCAAACGTTTCTAACAATATGGATGCTGGATGCATCTTCTGTAGGAGGTTTTTCAGGACCACCTGGTCGACCGGGCCATAAACCAGAATTTGTCAGCGCTCCCGTAGGCATTTAAGGTGACTGTGACTTTTGCAGAGATTTTCGAAATTTCACGCCCATTACCATTGTCAATGGGCAGATGCACTGGGACAAAAGGGCGCGAGTCTCGTGCACCTTTTAGTACTGAATTATAGCAGTACAGTATATACCTATATACAAGGTACCTACCGTATTACGTCTCATTGACATTGTAAATTTTAATACGCACGCTAGAGTCAGTGAGTCTGTTAGAAAAAAAAAAGATATGTGTAAAATTTTCCAAACTTTCAAACCACCTAACCAATCTACACGAGAACCAGCTGGCGTCCTTTTAAAATGCCCGCTGGATGCATCGGTCAATTTTAAAGATAACACCCAGGCATCTCTTTTGGCTTTTAGTTACGGCGGTTTTTATTAAACGTTTAATTAAAGCCCATCAATCTTTATTACCAGCAAGGTTCCATATCGACAGCGGTGATTTCATGAGCGTTATAACCGAATCCCCCTATAGTCCCATAGGGCCATGAATACGTTTATGGGGTACAAGGGTGGTCCCCCCTTGGCAGCCTTCAAATTGCTAAGACAATATCCGAGTTACCCCACGGAGTTGTAAACGATTTTTCACACTATGTTCTCACGCCATGATTTTTCTGGTAATTTTTTTTTCTTCAAAATTTGAAAATTCCTCGTCATGTCAGTGAAATGTTAAGTCGTAAAGATTTCACCGTTTTGTTAATACTCGCCATCACGATTGCTACAGCCACGTTCACAACGGAATTTTGGGCCTTCGAGGGCTACAGAAATCAATCGTTAACTATTCGCATGCATATAGTCTCGTTACCCGGATAGTCATACGCATTCAAGGCTGGTATTCATATGTTAATAGGATCGTCCAATATTAGACCGCTAAGTCTAATATCAACTAACATAAGCCACGCCGAGGCTTACAACGTCGGGTTTTTGGGGTCGCTATGACAAGTATATTACAGCCTGCGTTTATATCAATTAGCCCTGACGTTTTGGGGGTGTGCTTGCCGCGCTAAAAGGGTGCCTGCTTGTGAGCTCGTGGGGAGGATATGGAAAGACCAAGGGAAGCACACGTCGTTCACACTTTACAGGCAGAAGCCGTAAGGGGCAGGAGAGCATAGGCGAGGGGCAGCCTGGCGATAGTGTTTCGAATTTCAAAATAAACCTTAAGGTGAGTACACGGGAGAGGTGCAGTATTTAAAAAAAAAGTATTAATTAGGTTTTGACGGATGATTTTCAAATTACAAACAACATTGACGACGTGTCGGAAATTGACGAAAAATAATGTACAACTCGAAGGATTTTGGACGAGCTGTATGTCCGTCCTTGTCTTACGCACGGGAGCCACAATCAGTCCGTCTCTCTCGCACTTACGGTAGGTATAGGCCGTTTCGAAAATCTAACCCCTGGACCTTCTCCGATCTCTCGATCGAATTGACGATTCCGATAACTGTCATTCGGACTGGCGGGCTCCTTTTTACCTCTTCAAAATGACTTCTTTGAGTCGTCCCGCACTCGTACCGCCAAGGGAAACTATCTCTACATCCGTTTCTAGGTGGCGACGCATTTTCGCTCGAGAATGCATAATAGGTAGGCCATCGATCTCCCAATGAAAAGTCGCCACGTGAAAGGGAGATGCGTCGGAAACACGGGACACGCCTTGTCGTGCCCAACCCGAAAAGGGGGGGACCCATTTTTCGGGCCCCAAGGAACAAACCGAACTATACGTCGAACATTGTCGAACCATAAGGCTGGTTAGGTTAAATGGATTTAAACGACGAGACGCCCGTGACAATGCAAGGAACACGCAACCAACCAGCTGGCCTCGAGATTTGATTTATCGTTTCACAGAGAGCAAAGCGAACGACGTACGGACTTGTCGGATCCTAAGTACACACGGTATCTTGAAAAAAAATAATAAAAAGTGGAATTCATATCGAATCGACGTCATAGGAATCGCGATGAATAGCGTCTTATTACTTTGGATTGTATTTTTTTCTATTTTTAACCATTTCTATAGCAGATTCTGTATATATATATACGAATCGAGTCGAGACTTTTGCACCCTTATAGAATAACGTCATTACCTCAATTTAACCCTCCTATCTGTTTAGTAGGTAGCTATGCTGTATACGCTTTTCTTATTTCCTATGGGACCTCCCTCGCTCCTATATCAATAAAGTCTCATCGCAAACTCACCGGAAACGCAATGCGGGGTGGCCAGTGCACTTTTCCAAATGAAAACATAAAATCGTCCACGCGATTTCTTGCTCGGCCGAGCGAGAGATCGGCTTGGGGATTTGCTCGCCGATACCGAACTGCCGGACTCGTAATCGAATCTGAGAAATAGTCGGGGTCGAGTCTGGCGTTTTAAAGCACGTTTTAAAATCGTTATGGTTGAACACGTCGTTGCGGATCAGACGGTGCCTTGGTCGTATGGGGTAACGGGGACCTTCCCGGTCGCCGTTTGAAAACCGCAAAAACGGTTAAACTTGAAGTTGCGTATATGCCGTGTTTTGGGGTTATGTTTTACTTTTTAGCTTTTATATACAGTCTACGCAAATATATTTAATCTGCTTGATCTGTTTTTGTCTTTTGGTTAACGTACGATATATGCACTTGGTAACGGTCGACCTTTAAGGTACCACTCACAATGCACGATTTTAACGCGTTTAAAGGCTATTTCACGTCTACGAAGATCGGCTGCTTTCTCGAGGCTAAATGCGAGCTGACAATGTCAACAATGACGGAAATGCTGCCCATGACAATAATGAACATCCGGCCAATTGTCGCTTTCACGAAAACGCAACCGTAAACTGACGTCGCGTGTTATTGTGGTCGTGTCGACGGGTCTTGCGTACTGGCCTTCACCCTAGGGACTTTTGGGAACGAGTAGCCAATAGATCCGAAATGACTCTTGCGCAACTTTTAACTCCGGGACTATTTTTAACTTTGCTCCTTGTCTTTAGGATGTAGGTTTTTAATGCTCTTTTTTTTATTGGATCAAGTGACGTCAGCTGTTCGAAATATTTTATTGGCCATTTTTCCTGGCTTAGCCCCACGCGTCAGACTCATTGTTTGCTATCAGAGCGAAGAAGAGCACTGCGCCAGAGACAATGGCCTGGTATGATGAACTCCCTCACGTCAGGCTATTACGGCACTTCCGGTAACACAAACCAGCACTTTGCCGCCTTATACCTAGCGCTGACGTAGCACCGTTTCCTAGTATCTTCCCTGATTAAGGGGGTAGCGCCACACGGGGTT